CTCACTCACTCACTCACTCACTCACTCACTCACTCACTCACTCACTCGCTCGCTCATTCACTCACTCACTCACTCGTAAAAAGCCTCGGTACATCCAACGCGACACAATTCGCGGACGCAAATCTGATATGTAAAAAAAAAACTCATTTTTAACTCGATAAATCATAAAGTTGATTACGATCGTTGTAGGCGTGACAGTATTCGCAATGGCGCTATTCCTGGCTAAAGGGACGGTAGTCGCCTCTAGGCGTATCTTCGAGAGTACGCTGCAACTCGTTCTTCACAACCCAATGTCATTCTTTGACAGAACTCCGACTGGCCGAATTCTTAGTCGGCTTGGTAAAGACATTGATGTTATTGACAATATCCTACCGGTTATTCTGCGTACTTGGATCACTTGCCTCTTTTCGGTATGATATTCTCATATAACTAACGCACTATTGTATAAGTAACGATCTCTGTGACAAGTTGTTATGGATTAATATTACGTCTCTTATTTGTCGAACGATACTTGCAACAGATATCGATATATTTTCCCCTCTTTCTTTTCTTGTTTTAGTTCATATTTAAATTTGCTTTCGAGTATTGACACTTTGCACGAAGTATTCTCGTTGTTTTTGTTTTTATTGTACTGTTAAATGATTTACGTTCCATCAGTAATTTATTTTGTATATTAATCGACGTTGATTTTACATCAAAATCGAGGATGAGAGATCAAGTTCAATATGTATTTAAAAATTCGAATCAAATCCAATAATCAAATTTTATTTTCTAAAATTTAAATAATATTCATAAGAAATATTTCATAGTTCTTATGTGCTTCAGTGTGCTTATAAAGTAATCGATCCCGACTAGTTAGTTTCGAATTTTAGAATGAGTGTCTGCAAGATTCGAACTTATAAATGTACTTGTAAATAGTTTATATCATGAAGAATCGGAACAAGTAGTATTCGAACTCTGAGAATAAAGTTGTTAGTTTAAAGAATGTATAAATGTGTAAAGATTTTAAGTAACTTTTATTCTGTATTTTTAATCATATTTTTGTTATGTTTATTTTTTGTTATATTTATTTTAACGATTGATAATCTAATCTATTTGTAATTATCAAAAAATAAAATAATTGTTGCTGATTTTGATTCGAGGGAACATAAAATTTCTAATAAAGTACTCTCTCATGAAAGATTCGAACATATTTAATTTAGATTCGAGTCTACTTAGAAGTAATATTCTTGTTTTTCGAGGTACTCATTGAGGGTTCAAACCTATTTAGTTCAGGTTCGAGTCTACTTGAGAGTACTGCTTTTATTTTTCGAAGCAATCATAGAGAGTTCGAAACTATGCTAACAGATTTGAATCTACTTGTAAAATACTTAATCCCATCGCTAATCAGAGTTACTTGAAACTCGATAAATTTACAAATGCGAAATGAAAAAAGAAGTTCCTTTGTCTTCTCTCTATTATTGATAAAATTGTGCGTTGGTGGATAATTATTCCGCACATTTGAATATATAGAAACTCGATTGACGCGCAAAGAGTTATAAAAAATGCGGATTTCCAGCAGTAGAAATGTACATTCTAACGAATTTGGGTCTGACTTTTCTGTCGAATTCGGATCTGACTGCTCGTTGGAAGTTTAAATGTAGCATTATTTTGAATAACAGAGCTTGGAGTTTTAGTTTAGAAGAAACGGCAAAATATAAGTAACGTAGCGCTAGCCTGCCGGCTAAGCGTGTATGGGCACGGGTACGCTACTTGATGCGTGTAAGAAGTTGCCGGTAATCAGCACAGCACGGTGGATCGACAAGATGAATAGGATACGAAAGGACATGGTAAGAAATATCCTCGATGCTACTTGCCTGGCTCGAACAGCATTTTAGCGGCTTACCCGTGTGTCTTTGTGCGTTCAGCCGGTCAGGTAACAGCCACGATTTGGCTACTTTCTTCCTCAGCTTAATTTTTCGCCAAATTCGTTAAACGATACGTTTCTGTTAACGATATCCGTTGTTTCAAGAGTACCTTGCCTAGAGCAAAATAGTGATGGGACATTTGAAAAAAAAAGAACATATTCATGTACGAGATTGATCGATAAGTCCTAATTCTGGCAGTTTGTTAGGACTTAACCGAAGATATAACTGCGAGAGAAACACGCAAAGTCGTATCAACGAATCGTACCTTTTCTGTGGTGTTAAAATTCAGCTCAGTTATCTTATATTTGAGTTTTATTTTATGAAAGGATAACGTGATTCACGAGAATGCTTCTGCCGAATTTTATATTGTTCCATTCAGTCGCATCGCATATCTTAAAATTCATTGATCGAGCGGTTGATCATGGTGTGTGCCAATTGCTTTATTTTAGGAATAAAACGTAGGACCAGATATCCCGCTGCTCGCCTTTTTCGGAAGATGCTATCGTTAATGATGTTCATTTTCGTTTACTGTCAGTATATACGTGTTTGGATTCGACGAGTTAGAGGCACTAAAGAATGATAATCGTTTCGATTTTTTTTCACAAACTGCTTAATGCTAAGACTCCATAGACGCGGAAACGCCGTGCGGCAGAGTGCGTTGACCAATCACAAATTTTGATTTTGCCGCAGGCGACTTGCGGCAGCCTTCTGATTGGTCAACGCACTTTACCGCACGGCGTTTCTGCGTCTATGGAGCCTTAGCATTAGCATAAGGGTCGGCAGGAGACACGGTGAAGACCTCTGTCGGGTTGGGTTAGCTGCGAGTCCGTATTTTATTTATTAAAAATTTTTTGAGCTAAAATGGAAAATCCAGCTCTGTACCGGGTTGCGGCTGATTTTACTGATTAAAACGAGCATAATTTTAATGAGATTCGTTAATTAATTTGGCTAAAATTTGGGAAAAACGGATCCGTAATTCGACATGTCGGTCGGCCGGCCGGAATTGTTCAGTTATTTCTTAGATTTCTATTTCTATTGTCTTTTCTAGGGAAAACGGAATAATTCCGATCGGAATCTACGACTTATTCCGAAAAGTTCCATATAATACGTGCCCTGGAACCTTAATATCGCTCAAAACGGAATTAGCTTCGTCAAATCATTATCATTTTTACATCGCTTAGCAAACTCTACAATTGTTTTGTCTTCTTACATTTGTATCAAATTCTTTTTATATTGATTTTTTTCAGTTACTGTTTGAGAACGTTACTGTTAATTTTAACTTGCCTAACAACTGTCGTCGTGACAATTTGTACAACTATTGTATATATAAATCATAGTGCAACCGCATAGTGTAGTAATCATTCAGGGAATGGACACAATTATACCAGTAATATTGGTGTACAAAAATGGTCTTGCTTGTGCTTGATAACGCTTATTACTTTATTACTTGCTTGTGTAACATCCTCCTAATTACGATTTTGCCTTCTGAGAACGTGTGATTTATTTGTATTTCCTATTGCTCTACATATACATATATATATATATCCTGTCTGGTATGCCACACAGCAAACTCCACACCTTCGCATAATATGAGATCAGAGCAGTAGTTAAGTCCATAATATTGCCAAATTGCATTTGATAATCGAGCAGCATTACAATAGAAAAGAGAAATATAAATCTCGTTTATAGCAATCGTTCGGCAGTTTCAATAAACCGCATTGAAAAGAGAAACAAAACACGTTTAAGTCTGATAATGTCAAGAGCTATTCTTTAGTGGTGTAATACATGGTTCGTCTAACGTATAACACATTGACGCTTATAAGTTTTCGTTAAATTCTTGCTGATTATCGTTTTTTTCCACGAATCGCGCATACCGTATCAAGTGCGGTTACAATGAAAGTCATCCATGTCTGATGTTGTAGCGATGGCGAGCTTTTTCTGCGATTTGGCACCGCAGCTGGGCTGTTGGTTGGCTGCTCGCCAGATGCACATAGTGATGCTGCGTGCTGTGATGCGTGCCCCATTGACCTTCTTTGATACGACTCCTATTGGTCGTATTATCTCCAGGTTTGCTAAAGACGTGGACATACTGGATACATCTCTTCCCCCACAAATTTCTGATACCATCTATTGCTTGTTCGAGGTAATTCTTTCGTAGCGTGCCGAGAATACCAATTGGGATCTCCTTATCATTGCTTTCCCATATCTTCTCGACCTCGCAGTTTGAGTTTCATACGTGTACCATCACTATCCACCAGAAAACTTTGCGTACACCTTAGACTGCGATCAGATATGTCGTTATCCCCGGATATATGTATAACTTGTGTTTGTTAAGAGGTGCCTGAATAATGGTGGTATTGGTATATTATTATACGCTGGACACTTTGAATGGGGTATAATGCCGTCTGTAGCTTTGCAAACTGGTTTCAAAAATACATTTGGAACACGTGGAGTAAATGTGCCGTAGAACCTGCCATTGAGTATAATTGTGTCCGTTCTCGCAGAACGACTACAGTCGATGAGTTACTCTGTCTATACCGGAGTAAAAAGATTTAGCAGTATCGAGTTTGACTTGAGAGAAACTTAAGTGTATTAAGTATATCTTGACGCTAATGCTTGTATGTATTTGTCTAATGCACAGCGATAATCATATTCATGGTACATGTTGGTGGGCCTATGAAACGACCAGCGCTAGCTTGTCTTTTTTTTGTATAAAACGACTGCTGTCCGGAAGAGATATGAGCGCTTCATTCAATAGAATTTCTGCATGGGATATATTATCAGTTTCTTTTTATTTATGGTGCTCTTATGAAGCTGATTCGTTCGATCAACTTTGCGTATTCTTTATACTTACATATTTTTTAACACGCAGATATTTCTTCCTGTTCCGATTAATTTATATCACATACAATATGATAATATCAACATCTCGAATTCTCTACATTATGAGAATAATGATGAAGCGGAATATTTTCTGTGTTATTAACGCGGTATGTATGCATTGCAGGTGATAGCTACTCTCGTTGTCATAAGCTACAGTACACCTATATTTATCGTGGTGATACTGCCAATAGGCGCGATTTATTACTTTATTCAACGTTTTTACGTTGCAACGTCACGCCAATTAAAACGATTAGAGTCCGTGTCGAGATCTCCTATATATTCGCATTTTAGTGAATCGGTAACTGGTATGTTCAAAAGTTATATACGCATGTCCTATAATATTTTACTTAATAAAAATTTACGTTCCTGAAATAATCTACTTATCTGTCATGTAGGTGCGCAAATAATTAGAGCGTACGGTGTACAAGAACAATTTATTCATGAATCTGAAAATAAAGTAGATTTCAATCAAGTGTGTTACTTTCCTAGCATTATTGCAAACAGGTATATCTTTACATGATGGTATAATTACATTTTTATATGCATAATTGTTAACTAAAATGCATATGTTGTAGATGGCTGGCCGTGAGATTGGAGATGGTTGGAAATTTAATTATATTCTTTGCAGCATTATTCGCTGTTTTAAGTAGAAATACCATGAGTTCAGGTCTCGTTGGTCTGTCGGTCAGCTATGCCTTACAAGTAAGATATAATTAACTACATAATATATACAATATAACGACGGTTTTAGCATTATATTAGCAATGTGGTATTTTCTATTATGTCACTTGAACATTTCTGATAAAACTAAGTTAAAGTATCAAAAGCGCTTAGAAGTCGCTACATGCAACTTTGGTGATATTTATATGTTCCTTTGGTACTTTGTGAAAGGATTATATGTATTCATATATGAGGATTGATGTTATGTTTGCTACAGATTACCCAGACCTTAAATTGGCTGGTGCGCATGACGTCTGATGTCGAGACTAATATCGTCGCTGTAGAGAGAATAAAAGAGTACAGTGAGACCGCACAAGAAGCGCCATGGAAGAACACAGAATACACGCCTCCGAAAGAGTGGCCTAAGCACGGTCGCGTCGACTTTAAGAACTTTAAAGTTCGCTACAGGGAGGGATTGGATCTCGTGCTGAACGGCCTGACATTCAGCGTTCTCGGGGGCGAAAAGATCGGCATAGTAGGCAGAACCGGCGCTGGAAAGTCGTCCTTGACATTGTCGCTCTTCAGAATAATCGAGGCCGCCCACGGAAAGATTTTGATCGATGATATCGATATTTCTAAGCTAGGTCTTCACGATCTGCGCTCGAGATTAACCATCATTCCTCAGGATCCTGTATTGTTCTCCGGAACGCTAAGGATGAATCTGGATCCTTTCGATTGCCACTCCGACGAAGAAATCTGGAGAGCGTTGGAGCACGCTCATCTGAAATCATTTATAGAAAGTATGAGTCTTTGTGATCTTCCGTTGGGAAATTTCGATAAATCCTACTTTTGAAAAATATAATTCTTATTTTTTTTTCTTTTTTTTAGACTTGCCAAACGCTCTTTTACATGAAGTTTCTGAAGGTGGAGAGAATTTAAGCGTAGGGCAACGACAGTTGATCTGCTTGGCGAGAGCGTTACTTAGGAAAACAAAAGTTCTCATATTGGACGAGGCAACAGCCGCGGTTGATTTAGAGACGGATGATTTAATTCAGACTACAATCCGCCAAGAATTTAAGGATTGTACAGTTCTCACAATAGCCCACAGGCTCAACACTATTTTAGATTCTGACAGGTATTTTTAAAATTATTTTAATGTTGTATTTTGCGTGGGTTTGTACGTGTGTACTACAATTATTTTATTTTGAATAGTATTTAGAACTGTATTTATATGTAAATTTATCTTTCTTTACAAGATAACTAAATAATAATATTCCAGTTCTTACTAATTTCTTGTTTTTTCTCTATAATCCTATATGAATACAAATATTTTAAAATGTATTTCAAAATAAAATAATATAATTGTGATTTTTAATTATAAATTGATGTCTCAAGGAGATTTAAAAAAAAAATAAGAAAAACGTTATGATAAAAGTATCAAAATGAATGTAGATTATTTAAACTTTATTTCCGAGTTATAATAAATTCCAAAAAATGTTTGAAATGCTCACCATTGTACATTTGTGCTTGTTAATGTCAGATCATATCGAAACGTGCCGTATTGCACATTGCAGCGGAAGTTTGGGTGACTATGTTAATTTTAGCTTCCGCTTTTATTAGAAATAAATAAAATAATTTTCTATATTGGTTTGGGGCTGTTCAATTATCATGATATGATCGCAAAACTATTTTCTATTTTTGGCTTATATCACAAATAATGTTTCAGGGTGATCGTATTGGACAAAGGTTTGATCGTTGAATATGATTCTCCGGAAGTGCTACTTCGCAATCCATCTAGCTCTTTCTACAGTATGGCTAAGGACGCAGGTCTAGCTGCTTAAGCAAAGAAAGAAAAAGAATTCATATCACGTAATGATTTTTTTAGCGCCTGTATTCGCATTATTCGCGAGCCAACGTTAAAGTAAGCGACATGCATGGTTGCGTTCGAAAACTTTACTCGGATGCACACCGCGTCATTCTATCTTTGTTACGTACTAAAAATTGAACAAGGACAGAACGATGCTGATGTGCACCCGAGTGAAGTTTTTGAACGCAGCTCAGAAAGCCATAAAACAAAAAAAGCGCGTAGCCTTAGCATTAATTTGTATAGTGAAATATTTCTATGAACAAGCGAGAACGTTTGATGTAACCGACTGTGCAAGTACGCTGAATTATCGTCAAAATTGTTGCCAGATTTTATCCTGTGACGAATAATGATTTCTCGATTGCACTGTCGATTATTATCAAACCTTATATATCCTAGAAATAAGTAATGAGGTCTTTCATTACGAGCAAGCAATGCGACACATCTCGTTTCTAAATTATCGTCGATATCCGATATCCAACTTTAACTAGGCAGTGATCGAGTGGATTCCTATAATGAATAGTACGTCAGCATTTTGATAAAAGAAAATCAATTAATTATTTTTTGCAATGCACTTTGTGCCCTTCTTGAAAATAATCTGTATAACTTAGAGTGCAATTAACGTACTTAAATTATAAACGTTTTTACACAACATTACGGCAGCTTTTTTAATTTACACATTTCTAGAGCAACAGCATTTGATTAATATTGCATATGTAATAATTAATATTATATTAAATCAATATTATATCAATATTATATTTAATATTGATACAATGATATTGTATTATATCATTATATGTTATTAATTATAATTTATTATACTTACGGAATGTAATAGTGTCGGATAATTTTTAAGCAAATAATATTGGTTTGAATAGTATTTGCGAGCCAAGGTTTTGGGAATATGTTCCCAAAATATTCAGTCAAGCAATAGGAATTTTTGCACCTGATAACTTTCGAGTTAAATTACGCCAATTTGAATTATAGTTTCGATTTTACTAAAGTAAGACTATCAACAAATGTGTGTACAGTAATCGATAAAAGTGCGTGTTCATTCAGATTATAAAAAGAAGAGGAATGAGAACAAAAAGTTGACCGTGATTATTCCAAATAACCCATCAATTTAGAGCTTTAAAATACCGTTTTGAGCTCTAGAATCTGTTCTCACAATTACTGCTTTTAGCATTTGGGATGTGTTCTCTAGATTTGAGTGCACAATTTGGATTTCTTTTCCATGAACTATATCGTTCACTTAAAAAAGTGCATTTTTATTTTCATATTTTTCTGTAACATATGACAATCAGTCGCAATATTAACATTATTTATTGTTACTTTGTTAAATTACACACACACGCACAAAATGTTAATAGATCTCGATTGAGGTGTATTTTAATCTGACATTTGCTGAATGCTTACCTTATTAAGAAACTGGATACAAATTAATTTTAAACCGACATTCAGTACCACTTATACGTAACGTAATATTTTATTTTTATAAATCACTTGTTGATGCGAATAATAACGTTGCAATGGCCGTTTTAATTTAGTACACATTTTGTATGCAGCAAAAGTATTTAGGAAAGTAATGCAATATCACATTTTATTGTATATACTCTATCTCTTTATAAAGTGTCATGTATGTATTACCCAAAGTATAGTTATGACATTTGTGCCTATTTTACAAAGAACAAAGAGAAATCGCATTTATCGAAAATTATATATACTACATAAACTTTAAAACTATAACTCGCGTATTTTATTTCTTTTCGCGTTTGATCGCGTTCATAGGTAAATCATAATTTAGACTCTTAAACTAGTATTTACTATTTTGTATAGCAATCGTATATGTACTTAGATTTGTATAGTATTTTAATCTCTTTAATATCTTATATTATCAGATTATCATTGGATAATTTCGAGAGTACTTACATTGCGTTAAACTTGCCTTTTATTTGCCACTCTATTTGTAAAAATAAGGCTGCTGAAAATGAGATAATTAGAAGTCATTCTACAATCGCCTAGTGCCCTATTAAAGTTCCATCATTTGGAAATAATAATTTTTAATATTTGTGAAGAAAGATAGACGGCTCGTATGGCCCTTGAAAAAAAAGCAGTAGCCACTAAACTTATAACAGGAAGAAAGTGATGTTTGCCAAATGTATCCGAGATACAAATGTAAAAGTCAAACCAAGTTAACCAAGTTTCGTCAGCACTCAATGCAATTTACGTAATAAACTTGAGCTTTCTTTCACAAAACTACAAGCAGATCTGGTGTAATTACCAAATCGTGACCAGAAAATACTTCCGTACCCTACTGTAAGTTCTAAATTTAGCGAGAGATCTTTGTTCGCAATTTTATTAGTAAGGTATAATTTAAATCAAAATTTAAAAAAGCCGTTTGGTTAAACTGTTATACGGTAATTTACATTTTTCATCAAATATTATTGGAAGTTTTGTTTTATGATATTTGACCCTGCGTTAACGTGTTTATATAAAACTTTCGTTATTAATGTTGCTTACATATCGAACATACTTCCAATCTGTTTTTTGTGCGAAGTTAGAAATCTGTCTTGCCATTCATAAAACTACCGATATTAATACAATAAGATATTATTTTAATTCTTGACTAACTCTTTCGAACTTAGCAATGTAATAAATTACCGTGTCGGATGTGTGTTCATCAAATTGGAATGAAAATTTACGGATTCAATGTTCAAGGTTTGTTTCGAAAATCTGACTCGAAAGAGTTACGCAAGTAATCATTTTCCACAATTATATGTTGCGAAGAGAAAATGCGGAATTATATTTTGACGCGTATTATTTCCATTGTTATATATAGATTAAACCACGCATTAAATATCTTTTAACTTTTTACTTAAAAATTACGCTCGTGGCTTCAGTTAAGTTACCTTTCGTTTTTAGTAGCATGCGTATCGCCGAACCGAATTTTTCGTACCTCGAACACAAATAGCGGCGATGAATTGTATGTACGTCCCTCTTTTAGCAGTTTTTTTTTTTAATCGCATTCTGAAGTTTTTACGATATCGGTGTTATGCAGATATTAAAGCAGCAAAGACATGTAAACGGTAATCTTCAATCTGTGTTTCAAATTGTAATACACGTTTCTCATTCGTTATGTACCTTATATATATAATACTAAGCATTAAAAAAGAAAGCTAAAAAGAGCCAGGGAATAAGCTCTACTATATCGTAATCCGTATTATACACGCGCATGCGGAAGGAAAAGTGCCTTCTTGTAAGAACAAAAAAAAAGAAAAAGCAGGAAACTAACGTACCGTTTATAACGTACATTTAGAAATTTATCAATCTGTATATTTAATTTTCTTTTCTAGCATGCTTCTCTCTTTCTATATATAATCTAATAAGTGTAAAATTTGGTGTAACTCCAGTTGTTATCGCCATCTTGCTACGCGCAATTTAATACATAATATTTGCATACAAGATATTCGGTTTCTCGTTGACAGAGGGAAATATAACGGGGTTCAACTTGAATGAAACTTGCAGATATGGACAGGTATACGACAGGTATTCTTTTTTTTTTATGTGAGCGACCAACGCTCGTCGATCTTGAGCACATAAGTTTATCGAGCACACACAGTCGTTTTACGTAAATTTTGTAAGTTCATGTATATCGCGCTTAAGATGTATATAGTAAAGATAACAACTAGGAGGAATCATCTATATTTATTATAAACGATAATTTTTACAGTCTAAACGGCATCGGCGCGTCGTGTTAATAATACGTACGACTGCCGTGTATCTCTATTCTCGAATACTCTCAATTTTCCAGAGTGATGCTGCAGAATATCTCCGCGACCGCACGTAACGACCTTAGCCCGAAGAGCCGCGTTTAAAACCTTGGCATCGCAAACCTTGGCGTGCGGTGATGCTCACAAATTACGCTACAAACCAATCTCATTCGGAAACAAGTACTTATATTACTTATATTACGGTAATGGATATGTAATGTACATTGTCAAAATATAGACAGTAAGTCGGCGGTAGATAATTATATGACTACTCTAACAAAATATAAAATATAACATTAAATGTAATTTGTAATACTAACGTCGGCATTAGTGAAACACGATCTCCTGCCCCCCCCTTCTCCTGTTACACAGGCTTCTGAATGCTGGCGCTTACAAGGAACCATTTAATGCGCATCTCTCCTCTCCCCTTGCGTAATCTTATAAAATGTCGCGATACGAATGAAGAGGATTCAAATTTGTCACTCAGAAGAAAAGATACATGTGTAATGTATGATAATTAAATCAATTTTATTTTGTAGCAACATCTCGCCCGATAATGCGAATGCTATTGCTAACATTGTCTGAAATCGTTGATCCTCATTGGGCTTTTTTTTCTTTTTTCTTTTCGACATTTGGCTGAACATCCAAATCGGTAGAACGGCGTTTTCCGTGCTCACACAGTACATTGGAAGTGCCTACCTCGCGATCAAACATTTACACGAATGATAACATTGGTGAGCATACTACCTACATTTATAGCTTGTTCTGAGGATCGCGAGATACATCCATGGATCCATGACAAGCTATCTCAGCTATGTTTCTTATACGCATTTGTGTACCGTTTGTTCGTTTTCATCTCTTCGCGCATCTCCGCATATTTTAAGTTCCAGTAAGAGAATTTATTTCTACCCTTGCCTCTCCTCTTTTGTCAAGCGTCGTTGCATAAGGAAACGTAGCTTCGGAAATAGATTATACATCTACACGCACGCACACACACAATTATGCGGAAATTTGTATAAATAAATTATTGATGTGTGTAATTATATTCCTTTGGTATCGGACATTTTATTAATTCGGGGCAACGTAGAATACAACGTACTTAATGCTAAATCTATGCGCATCAAGTATTATTCATTCTTTTTCGCCGATCCGTCCTTTGACGGATGGTCTTTGACAGCTACCTGCTTCTTACTTTCCACGAGCTGCGCCTCCATCTCCCCGGAGAAACCAAACTCGTTCACTCGGGTGTGATCGATCTTATATATCCATCTTTGATACAAAAATATGAAGAAAACAATGTCGTCGCGGAAGCAGCCGAGCCTGTACAACGTCGGCATCTTTATCACAAATGCAAAGATATCGTCGATGAACGTGTTCAGGAATTTGTACGACAGCATACGCCATGGAAGGTGCGCGACGCTCTTCAATTTGTAGTTGATAAATAGCTGCGGTGTCATCATGATGAATCCGAAAGTCAACAAGAATCCATACAACATATTGAGAATCCAAGAGTACCATCCCTTATGCTCCAAATACATTAAAGAATAAATGGCGTATCCTCCCAGCAGAGGGTACAAAGCCCACGAGAGATATTTGAAGGCGAGTCTGTCGTACTCCTTCGTAGAAGACTCCACGTACGATCCCTTATCTTGGAATGATATCTTCGGAAAAACTCCGAGTATTTTCACTTCTCTATTGACGTTAATGTCTATAACTTTGTTGATCTTCCACACCTCGATGCACAGACTTACCGCGCAGCTAATACGCACAAGCGTGTTCATCTCGTTGTCTAGAACGTAGAGGAGAACAACGAGAGACTGGAATACATTGAAAAATACAGAGCGCACCGACAAACCCTCCAAGGATTTTCGGTTGTTCCAGAATTGGATATCTGAAAAGCATAACCACACATATTTCTCAGAATGTTTGCAGCTGTGCAATATGTGGGAAATATGTTTTTATTACTTGTTAGAGATGGACTTGGTTTTTCAAGAGCTTACCATTCTTAAATGCTAAAAATTCAAACACACTATGCAAGATCGATACAATAATAGTCAATCCTAGTAAATATGGATTCGTTTCCAGTAAAGTTTCCTTCAGAGTGTCTTGATCGTTATCATCATCGTCAGATGCTTCTCCTATAACATGAACAACAAAAAATGATAAACCTTACTAATCACGATTGTTCATGTAGCGAAACCAACCCTTGATCCTTTGAATTTTGCTAAATTTTTAATATGTTACAGTACATCCCATTCACTAATACAAGCTACAGTACGAGATACAAGCTACTCTGTTCGATGCGCAATATAGTTCATGAAATATTAATGTTTAAAATTTTTCATGTAATTGTTTTAAAATTCTGCAAAATAAATTTTATTTACACATTATAATTATGTATTATAAATGAGAAAAATAAAATTATGACATTAACAAAGTACATCAAAATTAATAAAAATATATTACATAACAATTAATCTTCGGTGTCGGAACTTTCAATTTGTTCACTATCAATAATATGGTCACAATGTATACACGTTTTTGGATATCTATTAGAGAAACATTTAAAGCGCATATTAATTGGTACCAAGCGTGTTTTATAAATGCAACTTCTTTGCATAAACCTGATTTATCACTGATAAAAAAAATGTTTTACTATTAATATCTCAAACTATTGCGTATTGGACAAAATTACTGTACCTTGTATTAGTGACTGAAGTGTACTGTAACATATTAAAATTTTAGCAAAATTTTAGGGGTCAAGAGTTGATTGTTCCCTTGTTAATCTTTGCTATTTTAGAAACGTAACACAAACCCATGAACGACGACGTCCATTTATTTCTAACGGACTGAGCCGCGTATATTTGCCATTTAAACAACGAAAGTGGCTGGTAAGTCAACCTGAGTTCCAATTGTTCTACGGTATTATTTAACGGTTGATAGTCCCGCTGCATGTTCCAAAAATCATTCATATATAGTATCGGCTTGTAAGAATTCCCGCCGGGTAAGAAATGTATATCTAAGAGAAGAGTAATCTTGGAGTGTTTTCGATACTATAGGTCTATACATGTAAAATATAAATATATCTATAAACTAACATTCGTCCAATGGCTGCGGTACTTGACCATACACCCAATTGGTTTCATCAAACACTAAATTAACAGTCAAATTTGGATGCCAATGCGACACATATTCTTGATCCATTAGCTCAGCTTTCTGCAAGAATTTACATGCTTAGCATACACAATAGGCTGTTTGTTTTAGCTAAACTTCTTTTACATAATTCATCTTTCTTCTTTTTCTTTTCACGTTAAAGAGAAAAAGAGAAAAAGATTAACTGTGCAAGAAGTTCAGCTAAAACAAACAGGCCTAATATGTGACTTGTGAAGGTCTGAGCACATAAAAAAACTTAAACAGTAAGACTTAAGCAGTAAGCAAATCAGCCAATCACAGTCAAGAACTTAAGACATAATGTAAGCATTAGCGAATCAGTACAGTTAATTTCCTTACTGCTTACGTCTTACTACTTAGAGCTTCCGCACAAAACTTTCGTATGGCAACGAAACGTGGGTCAATGCACAAGAAACGTATCGGTTATGGCATTATACGTCAATACATTTCTTGTGAGTTGACCCACGTTTCGTTGCCATATGAAAGTTTTGTGCGGAGGCTCTTGTTTTTCTATATGTCTGGACTTTGATTTTGAAAGTTAATAAGATATACGTACCGCCATCTCCTCCTTACTGGCTGTACTTTCACCAGTCAACAAGTTGTGCCTCTTCTGATACCTAATTTTCTTAAACTTATTCAACATTTTTCTTGAGTAAGACATATAGTCACCAGCGTAAACGCCTTTGCCAGCTTTGGGATTCGGCGATTTCCCGCTTTTCGTTATGTATATGTGAAGGTAGATCGAGCCGTTTTGTTTTAATCGCTCGGAAGGAATAAACATGTGCTCGAGAACTCTGGACCCGTCTCGATTCGGTCCGCTATACCAATCCCCATAAATCAAACCCTCTTCGAACCAAATCAAAGATCGCGGATCGTCAAACCTTTTAAAGTTCTCGGACTCCGACAGATAAACACTAAGGTCAAATAACGTTCCATTCGAAAATATATTTACAGCTTGTAAGCGCACATCGCCAACGGCGTTGGGAGACTTCGGATTATTATCGGAGCGTCTAAAGAGGCTGCTAATAAAATAAATTATGAGAGCTCGTATTATCAACGATTTTGTTATGGCAAAGAATGATTCTAAGCGCGATTGCTGTGCCTTCTGCCTTTGTTCGTTATTCTCCACGTTTGCCTGCAAGAAACATCTCCAAGTTACAATCAATGCCTCGACATTACTTCGGTATGTTGGCATAACATAACATCACGGCAATTTATAAATAAATTTTAATATCCACGACTGCAACTGACTATGCAGTATTGCGCAATCTTTCATTAAAAGAAAAAAGGAAGAAAAAACTCATGTATAATTTAAAGAGACGTTGATGAAAAGACGGAAATTCTCCGTCTTCATTCTCAAGACACTTTACGGTGCGACCGTGAGAATCGAGATAAACGATAAATGTAATATAGCAAATTGACGCACGTCTGTCTCGTTATTTTGTTCGGTTCTCAGGACCAGTTCACCATTGGGCTGACTGTTATCCATATTTTCTGTGACATCTACTTCCGCGTTGTCACGATGATCGTCCCCAGTAACCACCATTTTTTTCCTGATCAGATCCCGTGTCCCGTCAGTCCGGAGCAGTCCAGATGGTCCAGAGTCCCCAGAGTCCCGTGAGCCATGAGTTGCCATGAGTTTCCTTCGATCATAAACAGAAGAAACGCAGAGGCTAAAGTCACTAGATTTATAAAAGTTGCCACATATTGGCTGCGTTCAGCCGAACCTCTGCTTAGCGAAGCGAAAGGTAGCAATTGAATGTGATTGGTTCTTACCTTTGGATCCAACCAATTACACTTAATTGCTACCTTTCGCTTCGCTAAAGCAGAAGTTCGGCTGAACGCAGCCATTGGGCGCGTTCAGCAGACCAAGGCCGGTATTCATAGTACCGTATTCTCGAGCCTGCCCTAATGATTTTCGTATGCGACTTTGGGTGCACGGTCGTGAATACAGGTCCGGAAACTCGTCCGTTTTTTTGGTGGTGGGGGTGACTCGCTTAATGACGATATTTTCATAGGTTTGCCATGTGACCACGCGCGTCGCTGCGTTGCAAGGATTTTTATCACGCATACGCGTTGTCCACTAATCCGTTTCACCGTAAAGGCTCCCGCATAATAATGAAAAATATAAGGAACAAGGAACAGATATTAGCGATTAAAAATAAGAAATCAGGAATAACATTAATCGCTAATATCTGTTCCTTGTTCCTTATATTTTTCATTGCGGAGGCCTTAACCAATACAATATTTTTATAATAAATGTAAGATAGAAAATAGTATATGCAAAAAGCAGCGAGTTTTGTAAATAGTTGGCTCAATCAACGTTTTAAATGAGTTCAAATATGGATGAGTGGTAGCAAGAGATCCGCCTTGCAGTCTTACCGTTTTTAGTTCGATTCTGACTATTGATTTTTTTTATAATTATTTTACGAAAATAAAATAAAAAGCTTATATGCTTAAGTCCCCTTTTTGCAATAAAATCCATAAATAAAATAAAATACATCTATATGTTAAAAATGCTCATCGTACACCGTACAATTAATATGATTAAAGCAATGAACTGAACTAATTCGATTTTTCTACAAATACGTCGTTAACTAAATTTGTTAAAAAATTCCAAGCGTTAAGCATTAAATCCACGGGTGTATTGTTTAAATAATGATTTTATTTTTGTTTATTTACATTTTAATTTCTATTTTACTTAACCATTAAGAATCTTTGTATGTTCACGACAAATTTATTTAAATTACTTTTGAACTTCAATCTCTGAGGACTTATTCAAGTCCATACTAAAGTCTATATCCGTCGTTAGCTCGGTGAATGCCATTCGCTAATCTTTGTGCTATTTGTGGATCCGTTTGACTGGATACAATATTCTGTACAAGTTGCTGATATTGTTCTTGATAGCAATATATAAGATGGTAAAGAGGCGTACTGGCGTTCGAGATCAGATCTGAATCCATTTAATGTGACAAAATGAGACTTATCAGCAACTGAAAGGCAAAATTTAATATTTCAAAATTTGCTGTATCCTAAAAGGTACGTTTATATGCTCATAAGCTATCGCTTGTAAAAACTTACGTTCAAAGGGTGCCATTATGTCTTTGCACCGCCGTCCTTGCGTAACTTCTTTGTGAATGTGCATGGTCAAGGCTTGGATTGTATCACAGCAAAGGCTAGCTACTTCATTGCCAAATGAATATAAACCTAATTCTACTAATGACGCTAAAAGCTGCTGCAGCAATTTAACAGATTGCAATTTGGCACGACACAATATCATTAATTTCGTTGTCAATTTAATCACTTTCTAGGACTTCGTACGTTCGTTCATTCAATATGTCAATATGTAATATGTTATATATAATATATGACATATGTTATATGTCATATGTTATATGTCAATTTAAATATGTATTTGCGTTATTTAAAAAATCTCTAACCTCCAGCGCTCCAGGTGGTGATAGTGTCAACTACATAAAATGACTTCACTAAGCGAGTCACCCCCCACTACTAGAGTTTCCAGACCTGTATTCACGACCGTGTTTGGGTGTGTTCTGTTTGGACGCTCACGCGTTGTAAACCCTCGGTGCCATTAAGGTGAAATTTCATGGGCAGTGAAAAGTAGCAGCAGATTGTACTGATTGGCTATAAAATAGAGAAGTTCTCGAGTTCCTAGAACTTCTCTATTTTGTAGCCAATCAGTACGATCTGCTGCTACTTTTCACTGCCCCTGAAATTTCACCTTTACATGGAGCGCGGAAACGCGGAAACGCGGAAGCGCGGAACAGAATAGTAACTAGATTCCGCGTTTCCGCGAGTTGAGTCCCGCACGTTTGAACGGAAAAGCAGAATCCGCTATTATCGTGTATGTATGTACATACATACCCTGGCTTGCATAAGATACTTCATAATAACCATCAACATGATGTTTGGATCTATAATATTTTATATACTGCCACTTTTATAAAATAATAAAGTAATCGAAGTATGTAAAAGCTTTCTTTTTCAATGTGATTAGACAGCTCCGAAATTTGATGGAGTATACTGTATCCGCGTTGACAACGGATTTTGACGCGTTTGTTCCGCGAGCTTATTTCTCCTTATATTACATGGAGCACAATTTGCGCGGAAAAGCGGAACAGTAAACAGTATAATGACAAATAGACATTTGTATTCATTTCTTAAAATTGTGTTCACTTAATTCATTGCAATTTTTATTAATATGCTTATCTTTTCAGCTTATCTATTGAATACAAACATTTTAATCAATAAATACCGTTAAAAATTAATATTTTATAATTTTCTGTTCCGCTTTTCCGCTCAAAATGTGCTCCATGTAATACAAGGCATTCAAAACAGACGGAAATCTAGTAAATTTTGTCTTCCGCGTTTACGCGTTTCCGCGCTCCATGTAATGGCACCCTCAGGTTTCTCTCTGATACGGGCCATAGCGCTGCATAGCGCTGTGTGCAGCCCAGTGCAGCCGCTACATGAAAGTGAACCCAATTTGTAAGAAATCTGACAGATTTCCCGCCCGCGTACATTGTCGCGCGTGTAAACAATTCTCTGTAGTAGATTCTAGAAGCGTTATTTTCCGAATTATATTAATGTCAGTGCACAATGAATGTAACAAACACTATTGATCGACGGGAGAGAGGATTCGGTAAATAGATACGCGCATATACACATACGTCTGACGGGGGATTTAAACGGACGTCCTTTTTGAACAGATTATCTGTGCTGTATTAATGCACTCACAATCAGTCAGATTAGTTTTGTTAACTTGATTTAGATTGTTGCAATCGATATTATTTTTGTTCAATTTTAATGATGCCTACTGGTTACAAAATGTATCTACAATAGCACATTTTGTAATTGGAATATTACAAAACATAATATGCAATCAATGTTACTTACTTCAAATTTTAATGAGACACTGTATCTAGAATGATACATTATATATTTATAGACAATTGAAGTATTGTTAGAATAGTTTGTCATATAATTAATTAAAGTTAATTAAAAATTTAAAAAATGTAAAGTAAATAAATTACCTCTCAAATTTTGATAAGCTACAATGATATACTTGATGCAGGAATGGTATGTGATTATGACATCGCTCTTTATCGCCTAAAATGCTATTACAATGATGTATATCGTGGAATAACTCCAAACACAAATGCAGTTGATTACAATCCCGAACCGCCAGTGTTTGCGTGCCGTTTCTGCACCACACCAGGGTACGAGGAGATTCTTGCTTTGGCGAATGAAGACGGGAAAGTCGCTTTCCAAGATACCAGGATCAAGGATAAATACAATCTACCATTGGAAGGAACGCAGGTTGTCATTTATCTCAATTGCCACTTAACAAGCGAGCTTGGTGTGAGCGCGAAGGTATTAATGGAAAATATTTATATTCTTCAAGGCACACTGTAATGCGATCTTCGATATTGCCTGGATGCCTGGAGAAATGAAGTTGGTTACAGCGTCGGGTGATCACTCAGCACGTTTGTGGGATGTTACTAGGCCTGAGATAAAACAAATAAATTATTTTCACGCACATACGAGAAGCGTAAAAACAGCAGTCTTTCGTGATGATGATAAAGGTACCTAGATATATATCGCTCTTAAGGAATTATATATTTCTTTGTTTTCATTTTTTAGATGAAAGATGAAAATATATTACCGCTTTTTCTTTTACTTGCACGATTTAATTTCTTATGTTTCTTAAATCTGCATGAATTTAATCGTCGCTTATAATTCCGTGCAATTTAGAATATCTCAGAATCTTTTAAAATTTTAGCTGTCTTTGCAACAGGCGCTAGAGATGGCTTCATCATGATATGGGACATCAGAGCTAATCACAGTGATCAACCTAAGCCAGATAATTGTATCGCCAATGCGCACAGTATCGGTGGCACAGGCAATACGAGACGAAAGTCACACACTCAAATATCGCGAGCACAAAGTATTACTGGTTTAGTGTTTCAGGATGATTTTACATTAATCTCGTGCGCTGCGGGCGATGGGTAAGACTCGCTTTCACGCCTACGCGTGTTGGCACAAGAGTGTAATGCATCCTCTGTGTTTCAGTCTGTTGAAAGTGTGGGACTTGCGCAAGAATTACACTGTCCACAAGAAAGAGCCGATAGCTAAGCATCTAATGAATTACTCCGGGAATAGTACCAGAAACGGCTTCTCCTCGTTGTTAATATGCCCGAACAGGATTACATTATACGCAAGTTGCATGGATAATATTATATACGCTTATAATGTATCGTCATATAATCATAAACCGGGTAAGTATCCCTCTTCTTTAAAATGTATTGTGGGTGTGTGCGCGCGCGTCGACGCGCGCGCACACACACACACAGTGTTCAATTTAATCTGTCCATGCAGATATCTCGAAAACTATCAAAGTTAGACGAAAAATCCAAAAAGGTCTTTTAATGGGATTACTTTGAGATGATTTTCAGCGCGATAGAACCGTACTAGTTTTCAAGAGGGGAGGGAAAGTCAAATTTTTTAAATGGAAACCTCGATTTTGTATCATTATTTTTTACTAATTAATCTGAACAACTTTTGTCTGAACATTTTGATTCGTCTAATATTTTTTGAGATATTCATGGAAAAACTTGGTAATTTTTTTAATATTTAGCTTACAATATCTCGATAATTGCTTGTCGGAGCGAAAAGTGGTACAGGACTTTTTAACTTGATTTGGTCCTAAGAACATGCTATTGCAATAGTACCCCAACTTTTTTAAATATTTGTGCAAACATGTCCTTGGGGCTTTCATATATACACAAGTATTTAAAAAAGTTGAAGTATTATTGCAACAGCATATTCTTGACCAAATTAAATCAAAAAGTCCTGTAACACTTTTCCCTCCGACAAACGATTATCGAGATATCATAAGCTAAATATTGGTAAAGTTACCAAGTTTTCCTTGAATATCTCAAAAAGTATTAGGCAAATAAAAAAATGTTTTAGACAAAAGTTGTTCAAATTAATTAGTAGAAAAAGATAGTATAATAAAAATGGGGGTTTTCACTTGAAAAATTTCACTTTGGCCCTAGTGGACCCAACAAGGATTCCGGATCCAAAATCTAATAAGATCGTCTATTGGCTCCCTTCAAACTCTCCAACTTTTATCTGAAACATTTTTCCAATAAACCAATATTTTCAGAGATAACAGCTTGTAACACTTCAAGTGCCCCACTCTATATATCGATACATTCTTTTATAATTCTAATGAAATTAAATTATGGACAAATATCTTTATGACAGTGGCGGAGTATTATGGGCATCAAAATCGTACGTACTACGTAAAAACCTGTTTGAGTTCTGATGGTCGTTATCTTGCCAGTGGATCCAGCGATGAACTTGCATACATTTGGAACACTAACAGACCGGGTACACCACTAGTTAAACTTTCCGGTCACACAGATGAAGTGACTTGCATTGCGTGGTGCAGCGTGGGAGAAACTAAGGTTCTATTTTATTTTGTTCATTTATATAAATGCTAAGGGCCACTTCGACCAAGTTCTGATTAACTTAATCGTTGATTAGTTTATTGGAAATGACCAATCGCATAATGCCAATCTGCTTAATGAGAAAATGCGATTGGTCCTAAATCGAAGTGGCCCTAAATAAACAAGTTTCTTATCTTATCATATAAAAATATTTTTTTAAATCACATTTATGCTATCTCAGATCTTACTGCTTGACATAATTCTTGAGAAATATGAATTATAATTTAGATGTTTATAGAAAGTTCAATACTTATCTGATCCCGAGAATCATTTCAGGTAGTGACTTGCTCCGACGATGCTTGTCACAAAATATGGAGAGTCGGGCTCGAAGACGAAGAAGATAACAAAGAAGTGATAATACGCGGTCAAGCTGAAGTCGTAGAAAGATACTGTTTAGAAAAAATTAAAATAGAAACTACCCCAAGTTCTCGATACTCGAATACCCGTCAAGAAACTACACCAAGCTCGGACGAACACAAGGCACCTGTCCTTACCCCGGGTAAGAATATAACACATTGCTGTTACAAAGTTTATGTAAATAAACAAAAGATTGAGTATAAATTTAAGGCTCCTGGTCCCTAAGCCGAGAACTCTGCGTTGACGGTGGCGACGTACCGTCGGGGCAGAAATAAGAACTCTCTCCAATGGAGAATTCTGTCCTTTGTGACATGTTGACAGCCTATTTTGCGTTGCGTTATATTTCTTTATTATTCGCTCTGTACTTGTGCTATAACGTTTAACATATTCGTGAAACTCGTGAAATTTAACGTATGGTAAGATTTGCAAGAAATACATATGCGGAAGGAACATTCTCCACTCCTTTCGAGTCGTCAAATGGCTTGTTTTTCCGTATGTTCAGGCTTCGTTTTATGGCTGTTTGTTTATTGTCGAGGGAAAAGGATAGTATCCGTTAAATTTTAGAAGTGTGCTGAAACGATCTATAGTGATTTTTTATTGAATTGTCTTTTTATTTCGGAAAATACCGTAACATAAAATAGAGTAATTTCTCGCCTCGATAGCAAGAAATTCAATATGGCCGCGGTGACTACCCAGGAGCCTTAATAAATCTTAGTTTAAAAAATCTTTAGAGAAAGCGATCTTTTCAAAGAGATTTTAAACCTCGGACATTTAAAAAAAGGCTTTCTCTTATAATCTTTTTAAAATTTGTTACAAATTATACATTCTTCTTAAGGAAATATTTTCATTCTACAGTTACGACTCCCGAATCTAGTAAAGAAGATTATAATGAAAATAAGCACAATTCTGTCAAACGTAGTTACCTGCAAATGATGATAGGATCAAGATCTGAGGAAAAATTCAAATGTATTTTATCACCTATTTATGAAAACCATGAGACGGTTGCGAAAAGACCTCATATGGACAATCGTGGTATGCGAAGGCTATTTGGTTCAAGTAACGAGACCCCTACTACAACTAGAGACTACAATTCGGACGAACCCAGTACGAGCCAATCCACGAGCAGAAATGAACAAGTTTTCCTTTCACCTACAATTAACTTGCCAAATTTCGTGGTGGATGGTACAGCGCCACATTTACTTGAAATATCACCGCAGAAGTACAAGGAGAATGTCGATTGGTTAACGAAATATAGGAAGGAGAAATACGAACAAAAGAAAACTGCGTCGACTTCAAGCAGTCCGAAGACTCAATCGACACCTGGCCGAAGATCCAACAGATCGCGATCGACAGAGCCCCAAAAAGTTACAAAAACAATAAAAAGTTCTATACTGAACTTCTTTAATAAAGAGGTCATTATTAAAGAGAATGAAAAAGATTTACCTTCGAATAATAATACTTTACCACCAACGAGTACATCTTGAAATAAATGAGTGCAAAATTTAGTTTCGAATTTGGTTAGAATTCGCGAATTGAGTATTCACGAATTGAATCATGAAATTCTTTTCGGTTTTGTTTCAGTTTTTTATTTCATAATATAAAAGCGAAAAGTCTTAAAATCCTGGTTACTCTCTCTCTCTCTCTAATATTATGAAATAATTTTAACTTGTACTCACATAGCGAATTTCCTTCGGACAATAATTTACCACCAATTACATCTTGAAAACGTAGAATTTGGCAATTTGTCGAAGGGATATTTACGATAATCTTGAAATTTTCTTCGGTTTTAGTTTGTTTATTTTATAATATAAAAGCGGAGGATCTTCAAATCCCATTTGCTAATATTATAAAATAACTAAGACTTACTCATGATATAACGCGTTTGATGAAGAAGGAAAGACTGGTTTATAAGATGATAAGAGTTTATGTGCTGATTTACAAAACGAAGTATTTGAGAGGAGATGTTAAAGTTTACTCGCAATAACCTTACGTACCTTGCGTAGTTTTCAAGATTAACATTTAAGACAATTTAATTAAGTTGTAATATAAACATGATCTGACACAAATTTTTAGTATAATTAGAAATTACATTAACGCATGAATGTATAAAAGTTAACGATCGTTATAGTTGAAATATTTTTTGTACCCGACAATAAATTATTTTTTTTTTATAAAAAAAAAGTCATTTCTTTACATAACATTTAGTTCAACAATGTCTGTTTTTTTTCTCATTCCTTTTCTACTGTGGTATGAGCATTACAATGCCGCTTTTGATAGTTTTGAAAATAGTTTTAAATTGTTTCTAATTGTAAATGTTATTAGCTATTTGACCCGGGATAGAAAATTGTTACAGACTGTGGAAGTAATTTCATTTGAATTGGCTTTAGCTCATATTCTTCGTTGTCAATATAAAACATCTGATCTTCATTCGTCTGAAATAAAATCAATTCTATTAAAATCTCTGAAAGTTGATAATTGACTATGAAGTAATTAAACTCTTTAACATATACAGGGTGTTTAAAAAAAAGTCCCACAGTTTAAAAGCAGGTAGTAATCAAAATAAGAAGAAAATATCCAGTATGGGTTCTAAATCAAATACCTGAGATATGGACCAATCTTTATTGTGCACTATAGGAGAAGTTCTATGTGGTTTCAATTCATTTTCACACATTTTAAATAAAAAAATACATATTCCTACAATGTTTGTACGTCGTCGATATGATAATGACTAACGGTCAAATCTTACTGCACTGCAGAAATAACAACTAATATGAGAAAAGGACAATGTTTATTATTTAAAGACCTTGGTATATTCAATACCCATCGATGACGTACAAACATTGTAGGAATGTTTTTTTTTTTATTTAAAATGACAATGAATGAAAACCACATAGAACACCTATAATATACAATAAAAAGATTAGTCCATATCTCAACAGGTATTTGATTTAGAATCCATGTTTACTGGACATCTTCTTAGTGCTGGTCTACAACCTTGCTTTAAAGGGTATTTAAGCTCTAAGGCGTAAGAAATTGACCAATCACAATCGAGTATTCTCCTCACATTCCATTGTGATTGGTCAATTTCTTACGGTTTAGAGTTTAAATACTCTTTAAAGCAAGGTTGTAGACTTATTTTGATGAGTACTACCTGTTCTCAAAATATAGAACACTTTTTTTAAACACCCGGTATTTTAAAATATAGTATGTAGAATGTTTTATTAATATTTATGAAGAGAAAAGACTTACTGTTTCAGGATATAATTCAATATATTTTGCATCTAATATTGAATTTATTGGCAATTCATTGTCCCTTTCTCGTTTCCATCCTTTCTCAACAAATGTGGCATAACTAATATTTTCTGGGCCTTAATGTAAAATTGAGTATTTCGAATTTTAGTTATATTTCTAATATTTAAATAATATAACACACACACACGCACACGCGCGCGCGCGCACACACACACGCACACACACACACACACACACACATATATATATAAATTTATGAAATGTGGTTATTACCTAGAGCTATTTTTAATAAAGGCGCTGATTGAACTGATACATTTTCAGTTTTTATGCATAGTTCTGTTGTTGAAATAGGCATCTCATAAAATAAACCGCAATCTTCATTCATTACTTTACTGTAATCGACATGATTGTCTGAAATATATGTTATATCATATAATATAATATCGTACACTTTTATCTGTTAAAATGATATATGTAGATATGTATACATACGCGCGCACACACATACACAAGAAGCTACTAAAATAATTTTGGTAGATACTTTTCCTCTTACTTTAATATATAAAATATATTCTTCAAATTTCTTCAAATATTTTATTCATATTTCTATCTTTTTCATTTTATTATTTTGATTTTAGTAACATCTTTATGAATAGTTGATTCGAAATCTTTGATTTAGAATTTTTTTTACCAGAACCAAGTGTTTGTCTTTTTGGTAGAAATGCATGCCACCATCTTCTATTGGAATTCGCAGATTGATTGTAAGACAAATCTTTGGAATAACAATGTGAACATCCTTTGCAAGGATTTGTATACTTCATTACTGCATTGCACTTCCAGTTCAACTTTGATTTGTAACCACTGAACACATAAGCTGCATACCTATTTGCATTCAAATACATAGAACATAAAACACAGTACAAACATAGGGAAAAGTCTTGTTTAAAGAAATTAAGAGATTTACTTGCGTAAGGAACCCCAGTACCAATATTTGTCAATGCACGCGTGCGTATCGCTCCAAGCTCCCCATTCTATGCCTCCAACTGCATAAACTGGCTTTATGGAATTTTCTGGATCGTTCTTAAATTAAAATTTTTATTTTAATGCAATTTGATCTACGCCAAACAAAACGGATGCGATGAAAATACGTACGTTAAGTAATTTGATTTCAATGGTATCTATCAATTTAAGATTATTGTTAATAATTGCCATTGTCGCATCGATCATGTGGTGTATGTCGATTAAATCTTCGTATCTTTGATAAAACATGCTCGCGATTGTATTTGTGCTTCCCAATGGTAAAACACCAATAGGGCATTGTCTGACCAAATGAAGATTGTGCTCGTACTTTCTCATCAAACCAGTTACAACGTCCGACAAGGTACCATCCCCTCCCGCTACAATAATAGCATCGGTAGGTGTTTCCAGATTCATTATTGCGTTACGAGCATGGCTTCCTGATTGTGTGTCGATGACAGTTATCGAGATGCCGGCCAAATGCAATAGAGGCTCGCAGTACTTCTGGAATAATTTTTTAGCTTTTCTGGAGAAGAAGAAACAAGGTAATCAGCAAAAAACAATTTTGGCTTCTCGTGCCAGCATTGAAGTTCTAGCGACAACCTTTTCTTAGCAGCTGAATTTAAAATAACGGTCACATGACGGGGCTTGATGTTCGTAGGGCAAGAGGTGTCTCCGTATCTGGCTACGTCTTCGCAACACTGCCGCATTAATTGCTCCGTACTAGATATGATACAAAAATTCAATGACATAAAAAAAATTATAAATGTATTCGAAGCATCTATTGGTCAAAGCATCATTTTTAAATGATGCATTGTTCACTGTAAAATTATTTTATCGTCACGGGCGAGCATGCCGTTGCATGCCGCAAAGCAAAACATTGCATGTAAAAATGTGTATTACATAAATTTAAAGACTTCGAGGTTATGTTCCCCATGGTTACTCACTCGTACGCTTGTTTACCGTATGATACTCCGTAGGAGAACGCCGCGGCTCCCACCATGGATTTCTTCCAATTATTTCGTATCGTCTTCAGCAGAGTTAATACCTTGGCCATTGTCAATTAAAATTCTGAAAACCATTTGAGAATTGAAATTTGAAGCTAGCTGCTCTCGCTGTTGTAGAAAGCTTGAATGAAAAAATGCGGCACGTCCATAGTGGAATATTTCCTTCCACCATGGGCCATGGGCACGTCCCATTTTTTCGTACTAGTTACTAGATTCATAGCGTTTTTTCTTGGCTGCACTACCGCCCTGCACTGCCCTGCACTACCCAATAGCGTTGCACTAATGTTGCACTAGTGTTGCACTAGTGGGCGATAGTGCAGCCAAGAGAAAACGCTATCAGGCTATTGGTTAGCCTCATGGGACTAACCAATCAGAATGATTCCGAGATTCCGTTTTCCGAGATTCCGTCTTGCATGGGGAGGCACCATAGACATATTGTAAAGTCCCTCGGAAACGATGCCTCCCATTGGACGGCGACGCCAGCCGGAAGAGCGAAATGCCGCTTGGGTTTTTCGGCGAATCGTTTCCGCTTCCGTTCACGAGACAGCCATATCGTTTTACCGATCGGTTTCGCGAACTCGCGAGGGAAACGCCGAAACGCGCAGTCCGAGGGAAACAGCGAGACGAGTCCCGAGAGGGACGAGCAGCGAGCAGTCGTGAAGGAAGAGGACGAGAAGGAAGGCACGCGGTCCAGATTGTTTGCCGAAGCGTTCGAGCGGAATCGTCTTCCCATCGCGTCGGCGGTCTTTCTCCTCATCGTTCGTCTAAAGGAGCGGCACGATGACGGACAACCGTGAGTATTCGAACAAGTTACACGCGCGATTTACGGAGCGAGGAGTCTCCTGATGGTGACGAGTCCAAGAGGTGTCTCCACGCGCATCATACACCCGAGTTGGAAGAGAGGAACCGACCAGCGTCGCAATCAATGTCTCGTCGACCACGAGCGAAAATGGCGATTGTCGGAGGCGTCGAGTGCGCCGGGCGGCTGGGCTGAAATTTTCGATAGGCTGAGTCGCCAGTTTTTTCTAAACTCGAAGAGCGAGTGCTCCATTTATCCTCCAAACGCGTGAATTTACACATTTGTGCATTTATTTGTATATATATGTGCATTTTCCTGCAATATTATCTAAATTTATGTCATACAGACATTAATGGTCCTTTATTAAGTTATTTTACGCAACAATGTGGGTTATAACAGATACATCAGAAGATTTTGATAATGCAATGCCACGTGCTACAATATTTACATCAAAATTTCCAGAGTATTCAAATTACCAGCAACAAGGGTACAATCAATACAGCCAGCCACCTCCTACGGCTGGTCAGGATACGTCGTATCCACCTCCTTCGACTGGCGGAAGTAGCTACAATCAATATAGTCAGCCACCTCCAAATGCCAATACCAACTATGGCAGTTACAACTACAGTTCTAACAGTGGTCAAGATTACAATCCGTCGCAGAATCAAGGTAGCTACGGTGGTCAAAACAGCTATGGTGGAGGTGGCAGCAGTGGGGATGGCAGTAATAACTATGGTGGAAGCTATGGAAACAGTGGGGGTAGCAGTGGAGGATATAATCGCAACTCTGGTTCTTACAGCGGAGGTTAATGTCTTAGTCCTTTTCTTCTTTTCTCTTTGTTAAGCGTTATACTTTGTCTTTCTTCTGTAACCTTTCAGTTACCACAAAAACTTTGTTTTTAAATAACTATTTTAAATAATTTCTCTTTGTTCTCTTCATCTCTCTCTCTCTCTCAGATCATACTTTATATTTATCCTGTACGTATTTTAGGCCAAGGAGGTGGTGGTGGAAGCGGTAGATACGGTGACCGCGGTGGTTACGGAGATCGCTCTGGCGGTGGTTACAAGTAAGTTTTATTTTCTGAACTTTTAATATGTATAATGAGGCGATAACCGGAGCGACGGACTCCGGTGTGTTAAATTAAAATCAACAGCCACCGCATTCAGTAATCGTTCTTTGCCGAAGCAAAATCAAAGGTATGCAATGAAGTTCTTAACGCCAGTAAATGGAAAAATTCTTGTTGAATCATCATTACGAATCGGTGTTATGCCCAACCGGGCGTTAATATGTTTGTAGTATGCCTACAGGTTTAACAGACAGATATAACTGAGGTAAAAAAGAGGTAAAAGAAACAGTATATGACAATTGACGTAAAAAGGCTGTAATGTCGACACTATTCGCTGCTTCTGGAATATAAGCAAACACTTAACAGACCTGCACGCACATGCATACATATATACATACATACATACATACATGTATACCGACGTATATACATATTGTGTGGCAGCTAAATGCAAAGGTCTTAAGTCGATAAAGACTGCAAAGCGATTGATGTCGCCACTGGGGCCACTGTTGTATTATTATCTCCATTAGGTATATTGTATACGATTAGGCAATTAAGGTATTTAAAGTCTATCGTAAGAGATTACAGATATTGCCTTTATCTCCGATCGTTGTTACGCGTCATATTCTAAAAAAAAAGAAAAAGTTTTCGAGAGAAAGGTGGAACTGTGACTGTATTATTCCGTACATCATTTGCCTTCAAGCGATACATGACTTTTCTGTGCGTATCGTCGCTTCTAGCATTGGTATTACGGTATTACTTAAACAGGTATTTTCCTGAAGATATTGCTATTTCTGTTTTCTATCACGAACGAAAGTGAAAGGCAAAGTACGTCGATTATGCTATGAATTTGCAAATTTCTATATTCCTAAACTGCAATGGAATCAATGGCGAGTTGCAGCGAATGCTTAACAAATATTTCTTTCCGCGGCAAAGTGTTCCTTAGTCACAATGCAAGTAATCTCTTACTTTTTTGTTTGAAAAACGACGGAATATATGTGTATATATACGTGTCCAAATAGAATCTAGGCATGCTTTTTATCGAGATTTGTCTTTCCCTCGAGACTCGTGTTACGTCGAATCGATCGAACACTCGAATTTTAGCTCTCTCCCTCTCTCTCCCCCTCTCTCCCTTCCTCTCTCTCCCCCCTCCTCTCTCTCTCTCTCTCTCTCTCTCTCTCGATTTGATCGTTTGTCGTCGTTTCTCATATTTGTATAAAGCTCTAATCTCTCTGCATGCTAAACGAGACTGACGGACGTGATTTAACGGCGGGACAAACGGTCTAATGTAAATCATGATGTGGTATGACTGTACAGACATTTAGACAAATAGGTACATCAATCAAGAAGAACGGTGGCGAGCGGCATACATACGATTCGCCATGCATCGATCGATCGATCACAGTCTGTCCATGAGTCAACTCATTGGTATATCTGCTTCTGTGTTTTAGCAGTGGCGGTGGCCGTGGTGGTTATAACAAAGGTAAATGCACCAGACTGTTTGTACTAGTCTGGTGCTAAATATTCTAGCTTTCACTCTACTATTTACGATCTTTAAATACTCGGTTACTCGGTGTTATATGAAAGGGCTGCTATGCAACATTGTTAGGGTGCGAGTAAATAGCGGTGCGATATCTCTGGCAATTCATTCCGTGACGTGATATTCGCATGGCGCTCGTTGAAAGCGAGAAACGGAGGAGAATGATACGAGACCGCTCGCGTTCTGTCTGAGTAAATGTATCATTGAAAAAAGAAAAAAGAGACCAATGCACTTACGATCACCAATTGCTTTTTTTATCCTACGAACGATCTGACGCACGGATGTCGTTTTTCCGTGTTATCATCAAAAGCAAGCTTTTTTACAAGATAAGAGTAGGACATCTCCGTGTACCTTCCAAAATTATATTTTTTATACGTTCCGTAAGATTATCGTTACCCAACCGATTTCCGCACTGTACGTGTCCTTGGTGACGTCGTTCAGTGAGAAAGTCCCTTAAAAAGTTGAAAAGTTCCTAAAAGGGACGAAAAACAAGGTATTGCGAATGAACATTACGTTCATTTCGCGGATTATAGTGGCAATAGAGCTGTTATATCATGGTTGCACAATATCAATGGTCGTAATTAATTTTTGGTATGGTATCGAATATATATTTTCAAATACATAAACATAAGACCGCGGGAAGAGTAAATAAAAGGCAGCTGGTGAGCTACTTGCCGATCTGTGATTAAATGTCAAGGGTAAGAAGTAATGTTGCAGCCCTTTTGTATGTTCAGCTGCAACCCTGTGTTCTATATGTATCGTTAGGTGTTAATGGGAATATTAGACCGCTACTAATGCATTGCATTTTATAAGTAACACGATAAGGAGATTGCGATGTATACTGTAATAAACGTAACGCCGTTCGAAATACGGAAAACTTCAAATTATGCAGAAAAATGGGTACCTAAGCCAGAAGTTGTCGTTAGTATAATTGTGCGTTCCTTTTAAGACCTCGGTGAAAAAAAAAAGAAATGGAAAAAGCACGCATAATGAGTAGCAATAATTATGCTAAATATGCTGGATAATAACGTTATAAGGATATACGTAGATGTGTTACACGTTTTAGTTATTAAATATACTTTATAAGCCTCCGTAATATACGCTACAAGAGAAAAAAAAACATCTCTTGCTCTCGCTGATATATATTTTACTATTGTAAACTCTCGAGTAGAACGTTTACCCGAGCGAAAACTGGTCGTCCGTTTTTCGCTTCCGCTTATGTTTTAAAAAAACGGCAGGAAGTCATGCAATCGAGATCGTAGAGACTATTAGAAAAGTATGGTGACTAACATCGGAAATAAATGGCCATTACTCCTTAACTAAGAACTCGGTCGTTGCGTCATCGGGAAGTATGTACGATAATTTTGAATATAACGACTCTATTATTTTTACTGAGAAATGAGAGAGGTATACGGACAGTGTTTCCAGACTTCTACGCAATCAGAAAATATGGTGAGATGCGCAGCACGAAACACTTTCCTTATACCTTTAGATTAGAACGAAGTAAAGTAGTAGCTCGAAGGTCGGTAGATACGCGATTTTTTTTTTATTGTCTTTGACGCTTCTGTGCGACGAATCCTGACATTCTGTCCATTGCAGGAGGCTACGACCGTAACAGCGGTGGCGGTGAGGGAATGGTTACGCAAGAGGATACTATTTTTGTATCTGGTATGGATCCATCGATCTCCGAGGAAGAGATTTGTCAGCATTTCGGCGCGATTGGCATTATTAAAGTACGTGCTCTCCCACTTACACACATAGATCAATATTTACTCCATACATCTATATTTGGAGCTCTAATCTAATGTCCAATTCTACGATCTTTTATCTGAAATAAGAGGAGAAAAGAAATCAAGCGTGGAATTAAATATAAAGTATTAAAATGGCGATGAGATTTAAATTGCATTTAAATGCTCAATGAAAACTTCATGTTTCCAGAATGACAAACGCACAGGCAAGCCAAAAGTTTGGATGTACAAAGACAAGAACACGGGGAAGTCGAAGGGCGAAGCGACGGTCACGTATGACGATCAAAACGCCGCGCGGTCGGCCATCAGTTGGTTTGACGGCAAGGATTTCAAGGGCAGCACGATAAAGGTGCAAATGGCTCAGCACAAAAGCAGCTGGCAGAGTAACCGCATGGGCGGCGGTCGTGGCGGCGGTGGCCGAGGCCGAGGTGGTAGTTTCGGCGGTCGTGGCGGAGGTGGCGATCGTGACGATCATCATCGTGGAGGCAGTGGCGACGATCGTCGTGACGGTGGCGGCCGCGGAGGCGACTGGAGGTGACATACCTCACGCGAAAATAATATTTTTATATCTTGTTATATATTGGTGTTTACTATTATCGAAGCAATATCTTGTTAGAAGATGATTGTGGCAAAGCAACTAAAAAGTGCCTTTAAACAGATGTCCCAACCCCGACTGCGGTAACACAAATTTCGCATGGCGAGATCAATGCAATCTCTGTAAGAGCGCAAAACCGGAAGGCCTCGGTTACGGCGGCGGTGGCGGCAGAGGGGGTGGTGGCCGAGGTGGCGACCGCGGAAGCCGAGGGGGTTACAGGAACGATCGAGGCGGACGTGGAGGTGACAGAGGTGGCAGAGGCGGCGGCGGTTTCCGCGGTGGAGACCGGGGCGGCCGTGGAGGACGAGGCGGTCCTATGAGAGGAGGCGGCGGGTATGTCCTACCCTTCATATTTCTTGCATGTCATCATTAACTCTTCGCGAACTATTCTTTACTTTTCTTCGATATGTCGGCGGTATATAAAAGTTAAAGTAGAACAATTGTATTTTTTTACACAAAGATATAAACTTGAATGAATAACATCGATTAACGACGTGTCAATTTCCGCATTTTGTTTCAGTCGAGGCGATAGAGATCGGGACCGTCAGCGACCATATTAATGTCATATTCTTAAGAAACATCGATGGTTATTCGGCCATCAATAAACAACTTGTACACATATTGTACACACTTTCAGCGCTTGTACATTTCGCAGAGTGAAAGAAGTTGTTCTTTACTCTATATATGGCATGTATTTCTTATTGTCCTTTCTTTTCGCGAGATCTTTTTATATTCATCGGAACTGCACATCACATATGTATGTTACGTTCGTATATAAAGTCAAATATCTAAATAGATAACAATAGATAAGATACTTCAAATGTGTGAACATGTGATCGAATCGACTTATTCAATGCCCACCATCCCATTTGAGGCTTATGCGAGATAAACAGAGATTTGGGAAAATTCGTTTATTGAAAGTTGAAAATATAATACACAGCTAATTTATGTTATATTATATATATATATGTATACAAATCTGATGGAGAATTATATAACTCAGAGACATGACGAAAATAAATTTGCGGCATGTCTTCGTCTATAAGTAATCGGACGCAAGAGAAGCCAAACTTCATTTATAGTAAATGAACTGTATTCAACATTTTCCTCTTTTTTTTTTTCAATATAGTAAATATATGTATATAGTCTCGCGTTCGCTAAAGAGATGTTATGCATATATACGTGTATGACGTGGTTGTATATCGGTATTTATATAATTTTTCCGGTATGTATATGTACACAGATACTTAGGTATGGATAGATTACATGAAGACCTCTAGTTTATGGATTTACTTGAATGCACCGCGATTACTCGTCTTGTTTTCGCTCAATCTTTACGCTTACGTGAGTCCTTGGACAATTCCTAAAATCAGGAAAAAACCAATATAAAGATCACAAATATTTTTAGAATTATACGTTAAAAAAAAGGTATATGTTTACCTTTACACAGCCAATGACCTTGACCTTGACCTTGACATATGTTGTCAAGGTCACTTTCCTGAGTAACCTTCAGAAGGTTTTAGCTGTTCCTCGTTTTTTATTAAAGTTATTCACAAAAAAAGTATGGAAAATTATACGAATTTATGTCACTACTAAGGGAGGGTAACTTGCTGATGAGTGATGTGTGTATAGACAGTATATATAGAGCGGGGGAGGGTGGGGGTGGACCTCGGTTTGCGTGGAAAGTCGAAAACACGAACTGTACAATGATAGACCTTGTTTGTAACATACTTGCACATTTATTATCCCAGTAAAAGATCGTACTACAAATACATTAACTACAATCATTCAGCAACGTATTAAACCTGGCACAATAATCTATAGTGACTGTTGGAAAGGATACAGATCTTTGAATGATTTTAATTACATACATCAGACTGTTTGAATTATTTTGAGAATTTTGTAGACTGTGTCAGGAGTACATACACAAAATGTAGAATGATTATAGCGCGATATGCGTGCTGCTTTGCCTCGTTTTGGCATAAAACAAAAACATTTATATAAATTATATAGCTGAATTTTTGTTTAAGAAACGGTATCATCTTAATGAAAGAATACCGCAATTTTGTAAAATAATGGCTTCTTTATATCCATTAACTAATGTATCAATTACTAATGAATAAATTGTGACATATTTTTGATAAAATTGCACATTGCGGATTTTCACGCGAACCGAGGTCCACCCCTATCCCCCTGCTTGCGATAGCCCCTCCCCCGCGCTCACATGTGTACTGTCTATACAGATACATCAGCAAATTACTTCCTTTAGCACTGACACAAACTTGTAAATCAAACTTTTTTGTTCATAACTTTTAAATCGCCCCCCTGCACCCCCCATGTACTTTGATATATTAAATAAGATATATTCATCATTAGAAGCTAATAAGTGATATGCAAATGGATATTTTGCTTTCATCCACTTACATGTGTACTTCTATCCTGTTAAAATAACTGCTATATTTTCCAAACTTTTTTTATGAATAACTTTTTAATAAAAAACGAGCGACGACTAAAACCTTCTGAAGGTTACACAGGAGGGTCTTGACAATATATGTCAAGGTCAAGGTCATTGGCGAGGGCTGTGTAAAGGTAAATAGTTACCAAAAAAAAGTGTGTGTGTGTGTGTGTGTGTGTGTGTGTGCGTGCGCGCGCGCGTATATATATATGAATCTAACTACATATGCATCCAAATATTTCTTAAAAAATGCGACCCAAAATACGGTTCTGACGTGCAAAGTGTAAGCTAAAGATCGCTTTGTTTTTTGAACTTGAGTGCTTTTTTTCTGTATCGCCAGAGATATCTCTTATTATTCTATATTACGACTTTCACTTCGATGCTATAACCGATCGATCTTTTAATCTACTTAGTGTCGACGCAAAACGAGTCCGTAAACACCGATAACACAGTCGTTATCGACTTCTCCTCATTTATACTATTTGTTTCTACTTAAGAGCTTATTTTAAACTGATGAAAATGTGTCTTATCGTAAATAATCAATTGTCTGAGTTGAAGTTAAAGAAAAATTCCGTTAGCCCAAAATTTCTTTTACATATCAGCGAAAAGTGACACGCCAGTTCCGAGAAATATCTCTGCGAAGAAATTGTGAATTCCTACGAAGTTGATACGTCAGGACGATTTACCTTTTGCGTAAGTATCACAAGGAGGTGTCGGAAAACGCCAACGAAATCGATAAACAAGTCCAAGGAGTGCATGATAAAGTCCCTGCTGCCAATATGATACTTCTCGATGATCAGCTGCGTATCGTAAATAACGAAGCCGCAAATCACGAATAATCCCACATATAAGTGTGCTTGGTAGATGAAGGTCGAGCGCAAGAACAGATTAGCGAGGGAGAACAGGATCATGACATTCAGCATGCTCATCAAAGTGCCGCCAAGATACAGCCAACGGCCACGTGCAGCCAAAAGTGCGGAGAGACTAAAGGAAACGAAGATGACCGTCGTACCTGTAAACATTACACAATCATTGTACATCGTATCGTACCAACATAAAAGTACATCTTTATTTATTCTGAAACAAATACTTCTAAAGGTTTCTTATGAGATTTCAGAAATCATTGATCAATATTTTTATTTTTATTTCATAATAGCTTAAAATATGGCTTATTTATTTAATGAATCTTCTTATCACTTTCTCAAAATGTTACATAGTAAATACATAGAAATTTTTAACGATTTGTTCTTAATCTGACAGTCTCGTGTGCATAAAACTGGACTTGGGTAAAATCAATTTTACTTTAACTTTTGAGCAAGTTAATCAACTTTGAATTCGGTCGATTTTGGACAACATTGTCTTGAATGGACGTAAAATGCACAAAATAGCTTAAAAATGGATAAACCGATACAATTGACTCACCGATTAATGCCGTCATCACAATACTCGGGTCTATACTGACAACCAACTCGAGCAAAGGACCCAAACCAAGACCGGACAAGAATGCGAATCCCAGGAGGTAGCCGAGACGCAGTTTTTGGTTCTTGCCATTGTCGGGTGTTGACATTAACGCGATAAGCAGGCCCAAGGTGCCGATGGTTGTCAAGAAACTGGCCTGCAAGAATTGCGTGTACATGTGCACGTAAGCCCCAACCGCTGCCGACACGGTGGACAGAGACAGGCAACCGTAGACATTCTTCAAGTGTTGCCTGACCGGTGCATTTCTGTAAACAGTATTATTATCATTTGTTAGTGTCATCGACTCATCTTCTAAGAATCTTCTGTCGTATGATACCAATTATTTATGTTATTACGAAGGAATCTGATATCCCAGAAGAGAATTCTTTCGTCTATATCTATCGCAGAATGTGTCTAATGCAGCCTTCGAATGTGGACACTTGTAATAAAGATTGAGTGTCATAAACAGAGATTTGTATTTGAAAACAATCGTCAAAACCCTGACTAGGGAGGTCCTGAATGTAAATTTGTTTTTCAATTTCGTTGATCTTATCTAAGGCTGGGTACTCACTAGGACCGTGCAACGTGCAACACAACGGTTGCTACAATTTTTTCACAATGTGTTCATTCCGGAATTAAGACGTACTCACTAGTTGTAGCAACCGTTGCATTGCACGTTGCACGATCCTAGTGAGTACCTGGCATAAAGGTCAATCCAGACAAACTTGGATAGCGCATAAACATAAGCATAAGAGAATTGATTGGTCCATATGCATGTGCATAAGGAAATAGATCAATCCGTTCCTTTTTGCATATGGTTATGCACCTATGCAAGTTTGTCTGGATAGACCTTAATAGAGCATCTTTCAAAGTATAAAGGCCATCGCACACAAAATTGCATAGGCTGCATAAACATAGCATAAAACCGCCGGACCAATGATCTTATGTAAATTAATATGGCGACTTTATGCTGGATGCTCATTGGTTTAGCGGTCTTATGCTACGCTTATGCTAAGCTGTGCATTTTGTGTGCGATGGCCTTAACACGCTAAGTCTATAAACCACTTAATGCTTAATAACCGAGAAATAGACCTATGGCACTTACAACAAAAAATTACATTTTTTCGAGCACAAGAACGAAACTAGTCGTTTTTGGTAGTCTTTTGGACGCTGATTACGATCTAGTTTGCTCTATCACGTCACAATTTTGAGGAATTTGCAATTAATGTTGCAAAAATGAGCTATTTTAAAAGGGCTATGTATCTATTTCTCGGTTATTAAGCGTTATATTGGCCTACGGGGACTTGACGTGTTATATCTGTTAGAGGTAAGAGTAACGAAATTGAAAAACATTTACACTTAGGTGGACCTCCCTTGTGAGACAAATCTTGCACTCGCTATCTATATAAATGGCATAATGCAATTTTATCTTTTAATCTTCCGATTGTCGTTATGTTTCTCCCCGAAATTGAATATATTTTATTACACGTAATCAAGTGGCTCACGTATTTCAAGATTTTCTTTATCTCGCTTAGAAAGTTAATCTAAGGCCTCTCATAGGATATTTATATCGTCGCAGTTGCTTAGTGTTTATAAAAAATGCTGCAGTCGTAGTGTCACCTTATTAATGAGGCCAATCGTTAATGGTATTTTAAAGTTAAGGGTGATGATGTCTATGAAGTTTATCATTTTCATATGAAGAATTTTTGAAATTTAACCATAACTTTTAAATTATGGGTTCCACTTTATCATCGATTTTTGGGGTATTTTGAATGGAACTTTTACTAAGTAAAACCTATAGAAAACTCTAGAACTCATCGAAATCTTTCTGAATCTACCACAAAAAATTGATTTTTTTCAAAAATGGGGGCGCCGTGAAGTTAGCCCCCTTCCCCTATTTTTTGAATTGTGTATTTTCGTTACTTTAAATACGGAACTCTTTCTAAAATTGATAGAGAACTCTAGAACTCTTGCTGGGGTATACAGAACTCTGATAAATTTTTTCGAATTATGAAAAAGTGGGGCCAATTTCACAGACATGTAACTTCGATCAAACTCGGCCGGGACAGAAACGCCTGAACCAAACTTTCCAACTACACAATTCGTTGTGATTGATTTTTTTTTCCATGTTAGATAAATCAATTAAAAAAAATCAATTATTCTATCTATAGCAAAATGGTGTTGTTTGATAAGTTATCGTTAATTAAGATAATCGGAGTTTAGACAACTCTTTCTTTTTATCAAGTTATAAAAAATTACGGGAATATCGCGTTTACGTCATCAATATCGTCACAAGTTCACAAAATGAAAACAACAGGGCAAGTTAAGATGTGAAGGGCCGACTAATTGGACATTTTAGAAAATGGAAACGCTGTTATATTACTTTTTCCCCTTTTTCCAGTCTTTTCCCGTTTTTCTAAGATGCATATGTTCTTCCCCTTCGTGGAAAATCTTTTTCTCAAAATTTCTGTCTCTCCGCCCTTTTCACAATTTAGAGCGGCAAAGTTCCAATTAATTTAATCTGAGATTAGTTCGACCGGCAGAATCGCCCGAGGCAAAATTTCCAATTGTACAATTCGTCCTCCCGAATCTGTAGCAGAATTCTGTAACTCCTTAACGACAATTTCGATATCGTTGCGCAAGTATTATATATGGTAAAAAAAACTGCGCAACGATACCGAATTACAGAATCCCGCCTCTGATCCCGTTTCTCGTTACGTTAAACAACGAAAAATCGATAATTACATCCGTGTTAACGAAGTGGCACGGGTATCGCTCGATGAGTTAATCGCCGATTAAATTAATCGGAATTCGATCGAAGTCACCCTTGCCGTTCCGAGTACAAAAGGCACTACGCAGCACGGCTAAAAACAACACGTGTGGAGCTGGAAAAAAAAGGTTCTCTTTATAGGGTGTCCCAGCTCAGTTGTTGAAAACGACCCTTTGGAGGGAGGGGAAAGGTTTGAAGTCGGTTTCTCCCTCGCCGAGGATGTCATTATCGACATCGTCGTCGGGGAAAGCCACGAAATTTCTCTCCCGACGTCACACTTTCGGCGTTTCTCGGCGTTCGCTTTCGCTATACATAGACCCGCAACGACGCAACCACGTCGCGTTTGTTATCTACGAACGAACGACGTTCATCGTCGTTTGCGGAACACCTACCGAACACCTATCGAAGTTGAAGGTCACATGTCGCGCACGAACGCGCGATATGACGTGACATATATCGTAAATTATGATATTCTCTTTTTTTTTTTTGCGAGGACGCGAAGGTAAAAACGAGATTGCGACATTGCGTCACGAGACCGAGTCTGCAGGCACGGGAAAGAAAGAGACAGAGAGAATCGTGTAAAAACGTATTTTCGTTCCCGATTATGTGGCTCGACGCGTTTCATCCTTGCCATCGCGAGCGGAATACTCACAGCGTGCTGCTGAAGCAATTGTTGAGAAAAACGTTGAAGTTCGCGGCCGATGCCATAATTTTGCTTGTCGCTCGATTCGCCGCTGGCCTCAAACTCGGTGTCTTCTCTCGGACTCTGGGTGTTGCACGGGAGATTTCTGTTCGCTTGCAGCCCAATGACTGGCGGTATTGCCTGGCTAATTCTATGCGCGCGGGGCCGGGGTAAACTTATCGGCGACAGCCGAGGCGAACCGACGAATTGCACGAACGTACGTAAGCTGATAAGCCGATCCTCGCACGGGGACACGTCAGTGATATTCTTAACGCGTAGGAGCCAGGCCGACGGGGCAGACGAGGATAGGAGAGAACGAACACGTCCGATTGGTCATGCGCGCCGTGACCCTTTACCCTCCAATCGCCGCTGTGATCACTCGGACTCGGCGAACTGCGCCGCTAGGTGGCGGAAGTTTCAACCGCGCTATATACATCAATACATATAGGCTGCATTCGAGGAGCGCGCTATTAGCGCTATTGCATCATTCTGTCTTTATCGCTCATCAGGTGTAAAACAAGGATAGAACAAGCAAATAGCGCTAATAGCGCGCTCCCCGAATCCAGCCACAGTGTCCCGAAAACACCGCGAAGTAAAAGAAATATCCGAATTCTAATTGAGATTTTATTATCGAACGAGATGACCTTATCAAAAGACGCGGTAGCGTCTCACGCCAAGTATATATATATTAGAGTGGTCCTTATTGGCCTAGTTTACACCAATCTCTTGATACGCGTATCATATAGTATATTTGAACTGATCAGCCAATAATCAGACTTATTTACTAGTTATTTACTATTTAATACGCGTATCAAGTGATCGGTGTAAACTAGGCCATTATTTACTCGACAAAAAAAATTTTTTTGCGCCACCCCCCCAAAATATTTCCAATTCACAAAAAAATAATCCCTGCCAAAGTTCAGCTTGATCGGATAACGGAAACCCATACCCCCGGCTCTTTAAACATTTGAATTCTTTTTTTTTTTTTTTTTTTTATTCAAATAAAGGAAAGACCGTGGGGGTAGCCCATGTGGTCATAGTAGCAAAACCGAATCTACTCGAAACTGTGTAAGTGTATGAATGTATGTATATTTGTTCGTGTATGTCCGCGGTGTCGGGAACTCGGTATTGCCGTAGGTGCGTTAAGCCCAAGGAACTGCGCGGATCACTTCCCCCTGCGGCCATTTGAATTCCCTTGTAAGAGTCGACAGGAGTAACACTACCGACCTCTGTCGGGTTGCTTAGCTGCGAGTCCGTATTTTATTTATTATAAATTTTTTAAGAGCTAAAATGGAAAATCCGGCTCTGTACCGGCTTGCAACTATAATACATGTCTTTTTTGAAAAGCAATAATATGTTTTCTTTACACCAATTGATTCATCTTATTATTCTGTACATAAACGTGTTAAGGTACAATTACCAAAAAATTAATAGTTTATGAAATATTTTATGTTTCATGTCAAAATGTGCCAGAATAAAATATGAAATATCTCGTAAACCATTCATTTTTTGAATGCTCTACCTTAATACTTTTATATGTAGAATATTTAAAAGAATCATATTATGTAAAACAATCATACAATTTCATTTAAAAAATGGCGATAACCTTATGTGATCTTAAATCGATTTTTTCGAAAATTGATTTTACTATTATTTGTTCCCCTTGATATCCTATAACTTTTGTCTGAAACGTTTTTCCATATCTTCCATATTTTTCGAGAGATTTGCCCAGAGCATTTAAAATGACCCTGTATATACAGAGTGTTCTAAAAAGGTACGGCAAAAATTTAGGGAGATATTCCTCACACCGAAAAGATGAAAAAATGTTATATGAACATGGGAAACGCTTTTTTCAGGAGGCTAAATGTTACGGCTAAATGAGGTAGTGACCTTATCTGCCAGGCAGAAATGTACTCAAGGTTATTTTAAAAACAAATGTGAATAAACCTACTGATTAAAATGATTGTCGTCCACAATGATTAATCCTAAAATGTTTCTTGTGTAAATAATACAGTCAACGGTATTTTCAACGTAACTCCTGAACGTAACTCCGTACTTTTTGTCTCAAATACATGCCTCAAATCGGGATATATAACGTCTTAAAGGCATTATTAAGACGTCTTCAAGAGTCTCATGATATGACGTCTTTAAGACGTCTTATGCCCCGATTTAAGACATTATGTTCCTCTCTCTCTCCCTCCCTCCCCCCCCTCTCTCTCTCTCTCTCTTCGGTTATGCCTAGTATCGCACATACATCTTATCAAAATGTACAGTCTTCACGTGTCCGTTCAACGTATATATTCAAAAATTACAATACAACCGTGAACCACTCATGTAGTTCATGCTACCGAATATTTCCAGTTAATAAAAAAGATCAATCGTAACTAGAATAAGGAGCTTCTTTGATACGTTGCGATTACTGTCTCTCCTATACACTCCACTATGTAAAGCCATCGACACAGTTATCCAGTAGAATTTACTATAATCGTAAAACAACTAATATGAACGCTATATAACTCTCATCGCAGTAATATCAAATCGCGTTAAGCAACAACTTTAAGACGGAGGGCATTGTATTCTTCCAACGTCGCCGCCTTCCGATTGGTTATCACTGTCCTCAGATGAGCTATCCATCGAGGAGTCATGGTGATAATCGTCAAAGTCATCTTCTTCCTGATTTGGATCCTCGTAACGTGTATAAAGATTCTAGAAGGGGCACAATAGTGAAACAATCAATTTGAAATATCACAAAAATGTCTACAATATTTATATTATTTATTACTTACACGTACTCTCTCTCTATGACGGATATGTCTCAGTAAAATCCAAAGTAATTGGCCATCGAACGAATCAGGCACGTTTTCTTGCTTCCTATTCCTCGCGTTGGACTTGACGCACTTATGAAAAAAAAGAATATGTGAATCATCATACGTTTATCGATATACAATTAGTCCACAACTAATAATTAGTCGCCATTATTAGTTACATTCAACTGTATTGTTTATTTGAGAAACGAGATACTAAACATTATTATTAAACGCTGACAAAACAACAAAAAAGTATGCAAAGAAGATAAACAGAAAATGTGAAACAAGAAAAAGAAGAGATATGTAGAAAGATAATTTTTGTCTACCTACGTTTGCGAATGATTTCATCATCGGAGGTTCTTTGCGCTTAGGCTCCCATATCTTAACGTCGTAATCCAATCCACTTGTCGCAAGAATGGGAATATGTGGGTGTCCTTCTAAGCAATTTACCTATAAATTAAATGAAAAGAAGACTGTTATTTTCTCTTCCACATTACAGAAAAAGAAAAATTTGTTTATCAAATTTATGAAGTAAACTCACAACTCCTTGATCATCTCCAGCCATCCACTGTACAACAGCTTCCGTGTTTTTGTCCCAAATGAATATATTACCGCAATCGGATCCGGATATGACATATTCGCTTTTAGGTCCGAAGAAATTGACTCCCTTTACTGCAATTGAGCAACAAATGACAGTTAATAAATCACAATTATTTACAGCATCATTTCTTAACTAACATGCATATAAAAAAAAGAGATCTAAGAATTAAAAAGATGTAGAGTTGAAGATATAGAATGTAATAATATTCATATCATTTTATGTATAACGTACCAGTTGCACTATTCCTATGGCCCTGATATCTATGAGCGTAATCTACACGTGACGACATTAATCTATCAAATAGGTATATGTCCTCGTCATTATACGATGCGAGAATTTCTGTTCCGTTGTGATTATACACAGCGCACGTTACATGCGCGTGCTTATTTCCTGTCTAAGACATAATTACATATATAATAAAATTAAACATGTGTAAAAAAGAAACAAACTACAATATTTGTTATATTACTTCAAGTATTGGTGAACTTTTTCAGCAATAAGATTGCTATATAATGCGACGTACCAGGTGATCGGGACACAGTTTATAAAGCGGTGTCGAAGCTTTTCGCCGATCGTACACTCTCACGTAATGGGAACGGCCGCCGACGCAAAATTCATTACTATTAAAAGGATTCGAATGTATACTGAATAGTTGCACTTCTGATGAACCGTCCTTTACTACGAGTAATCTGTGGATACAAGAAAAGTCCATTTTATTACGTATCAAGAGACACGGTAGTGTCTCGCGCCAAGTATACACGAAGCAAGACCGCACCGTGGATCTTTTTATACGCGATACGACGAGTTGCAAGTACCCGAGATTTTGAGATCTCGATAACCAGAGAACGGGTCAGGTTCTGGTCTAACAAGGCTTAATGGATAGTTTGGACCACATTTATATAATAAAAATGTTTTTCTTTGTATCATATGGTAACAATACAAAATAAAAATATTTAATTAAAATATAATAAATTTTTCTTGTAAAAAAACTTAGCGTTTTTTTTTTACTCCTGTCGCATTCTTCCAAAAATTATGCTTATTTTTTATATAATTAAAAATCTTAGTACTTTATTAAATTTCGAGGTTCAACAGCGCCAAGTTTTTTTTTTTACAAGAAAAATTTATTTTATTTTAATTAAAAATTTTTATTTTGTACTGTTACCTCTTTAATTCTTTGTGATAAAAACTATTCTTTGTAATTTTATAATTTCGTTAAGGAGAATTAAAGCTACTATCACTTGGATTGGAATAGGAAGACCCTTGAATGGAACAAAGATACGTATCACTCGGGTTTTATTTTTTAAAAGTAGTTGCACAACAATTATTTTTCAAAGCAATATACATATCTATTCTCTTTGCAATTGGCGCAATTTAAAGATTTTATATATTTTTTTGAAATACATATCACTTGGGTTGAGTTAGTTAAAGCAATTTTGTGATATAATAGTTTTGTTAAGAAGAAATAAAGTTGCTACCACTCTTAGGTTAAATTTTTGGATTTACAACATACATTGCGCGTGTACTTGGCCTTTTTTTACCTTTTTTGAAGAAAGTAATTTTGTACTGATAGTTATTACGCGAAAAATTAACATTATATATAGATATGCTGCGGGCTACAGACGCAAATAGAAAATACGAATATACTTATGCTTTTTAATCGCGACTCACTTGTTTGGCTTACTCTCTCGGATATCTATGGAGAATACCCTTGCATCCTCTCCAGCGGAAAAGACCACATGAGGTGTTTCAGGGTGCACAGCCAATTTGTGTGACGGTCCACGATGCGTCGCCAATTTCTTCGATGTGTCATGTTTAAGATCTAATAAACGTACCTGACCGTCTCTAGCACAAGTGACCATAAGGTATTCCACGTCTAATGGTAACCACTTTGCCTGAACGCATACAATTTCGAAAAATTTATTGGCAAAAGATAAACATAATAATATAAAAATAACTGTTGTACAACATATCGATTGTAACGCTTAGTTATAAGATACACACTTGAAACATATTGCTTGTATGACCGCTCATAAACCAGTGACGCTTTTTCCCTACAGCCCAATCCCAAATAACAACTGCTAAATCATCAGAGGCACTCGCTAACAAATTTCCTTTTTGATTGAAGTTTAAGGCATTTACACAACCCTGTAAATAATAATCAAATGTAAATAATAGTTAATGATGCAAGAGCCCAGTAATGATCCTAAAACGATATAAATCTCATGTCGATATACAAGGTTTCTCTAAAGTCTGACTCAACTCCTTAGATCTCGAAAACAGCTTTAAATAAATATGGGAAAACGCTGAAACACTTACTCGAGAGGCTGCTTATTTTATGCCAAAAAAATTTCTTAGCCTCCTCCCCCAAGAGGGCGGAAGCAGGGGCGCAAGTCAAAAATTTTAAATGGGAGGGTGGGTCAAATTGTAGCTCATTTTAAATGTATTTTTATGTGGATTTGCCGCTAAGTGCAGAGAAAGGGGGTATTACTCTTCACTCCTCCACGATCAATTACAGTCAAAATTAAAAATGTTTTTATTTCAATTAGGTGAACTAACCGTCGGAATAGTAGTCGACAGCTCCCGAATGCATTGTAAACAGTGTTGGAAAGTCTAAAATGTCTTAAGATGCTAATACGGCTCTGTAATTGGTTTATGACATCTTAAGATTGTACTTAAGACAGTCTTAAATAGATTCAACTATGAATACCCTCATAACTTTTGATAAAGGGGTTGCAGCGACCCCCTTATCAACCACGTTCACCAAAAAGTTTCTTTTCACTAAATTTTTTAATACAAGCTACAATTTGACCCACCTTCACATTTAAAATTTATGTCTTGTGCCCCCGCCTCCGCCTTAGTCCTGGGGAGCTAAGAAATTTTTTTGGCATAAAATAAGCAGCTCCTCCAAATAATCGAACATGTGTTTCGGCGTTTTTCCATATTTAAAGTCGTTTCCGAGATCCGAGGGTTGGGTCAAACATTAGAGATATACCCTGTACAGCATTTACAAATTAAATAATTTACCTGATGTTCATTAAGTTTATGCATAACTTGCAGCCGCTCTACCGCATGTAAAGAACCGTAGAACCTTTTTTGGAATAACGGATTGCTACCTATTTGGCGATTTATTACTTCTGGTACAATACGCCAATTAGGAGGTGGTTTCTCTATTTTTAGACAATGAGGTATTTCTTCGTCCTCATCCTCATCTTCCTCATCTTCGTCCCATTCATCGTCGTTAGCAGCTCTCCATTCGTTCGAGTCACCTGTCCAGAATTCAGAATTCTACATCTTATCAAACAACCAATGCAAAAGCATAGAATACCTCTCTCGTCTTTGTATCGATCAGATTCGTCATTAGGCGTTTCTGATCCTGCTCTATGAGCTTCTGAACTTCTATTTGACGATTCGTTTTGAGCTGACTCATTTCTGGTACTGGCAGATGCAACATTTCCTGAAATCACAATATTAATTTTATGTATATACATATAATTATTAAACGAATAGTTTGTCATGTTCGCATATTATAAATAATTTCATGAAAGGGGCTAGCGAACCAAGCTCGTTAATTATAAAGCACTACGAATGAGCTTGGTTCGCTAACCCCTTTCATGAAATTATTTATAATAGGCGAACATGACAAACTATCGTTTATATTTACGCGGGCGACATATAGCGTCTTACATGTATTAACCTGTTATTGCGATAAATATTATCACATGCCTCGGTGATCGAATTGGTACGATGCCCTACACGGAATGAGGGAAGTTCCAGGTTCGAATCCTGGCTGAGGTAATATTTTTCGCAATAATTTCTTTACAGTTTTTAGAAAATTAAATCGTTCGATTTAATTCCGGGGAGGGAAGGGTTTTAATGTTCCAAAGATAGCTGGGTTCAGTCCGACATTTATCGGCTCGCAGTTATTGGAATATTATATGTTTATTCGTCGATTTTTAACGATAGCTGGGTTCAGTCCGACATTTATCGGCTCGCAGTTATTGAAATATTATTTGTCGATTGTAAGATATAATTATAAAGCACTACGAACGAGCTTGGTTCGCTAGCCCCTTTCATGAAATTACATATAATTATTATCATATATAATTGTACAATAATTATTGATACCTATATCTTATCTATTATAATAAGAAAGAGACTCCTTAAGCATAATTACAAATTACAAAATCAAGATCAATTAAATAACAAAGATATACTGTTGTTACCAATATGAATGACAAAACAAACAAGTACCTTCATCTGCGTCAGGAATGGAAGCTTCCCTTGTTACCTCGTTAGACAAGGTATTCCCCGAATTGTCTTCATTATCGCTTGTTATATTCCGCCTCTTACGATAATTTCGCTGTTTCGCTTTTGATTTGTTTCTTTGAAACGTCACCGCATCGTCGTTTACGTTTCCAGCATTGATGTGGCGCGCATTTTTATTTAACTTCTGTCGCTTACTCAAATCTTCGTCTGAGCTATCATCCGATTTTTCTACCGACATACCGCTACCGGTATACACTTGACCTTTCGAAATACTTCTTTTAACTTTATTCTGTTCCGTGTGCAATGCGTTTGCTTCGTTAGTACAAGAAGAAGACGGACTATTGTTTTGCGAGGTAGTCGCCTCTGATAAATCGATTGGATTACAACTGGTGGCGTACAAGATTTCTTTTAACACATCGTTAGTTTTGTCACATTTATTAGTAGTTATCTTAATCTCGTCCTCTGCAGAAAGTTCCATAGGTTCGCCCGCTCGCTCGTTTTGCATAGTCCCACAGGCAAGATTGTTATTAAATCCGACTATATGACTAACGTCTTTTAAAGTGCCACTGCTCTCAGATGTAACACTACAACTATCTACATTCTTTGAGATGCTTAAATCTTCTACAGAACTTGACTGCGCCTTCCTAGACTTCTCGCCGTCCAAATCCTTGGTGTCAGAAAGTTTCACTTCAGAGTCATTACTGGTATCATGCGTTTTAGACTCCATTTTATTTTCAAGATTTTATTCCTTTTGTTTGCCTAGACTGCCAGCGATCATTCCACAATCTGCATTTGCATTGGCAACATATCCAAGGTTTGTCTGAAATATATTAATTGATACAATACATAATAAACTCTTGTTACACATTACCATATATACACAAATTAAATATCAAAGCACACATATATTTAAGTAAATTATAAAAAAAAATCATTGCTGAAAAAATGATTGTTGTCTATTTGAAACCAATATCTATTCAGAACTCTCTTCTTTAACAAAAGTAAACAAATAACTTGATATCATCCAAGACATCAAAAATTGGAAGGTATGCAAAAATAAATTTATTAATAATATACATTTGATAATAACATTGCTGTTTATCTTGCAATAACAATCAATAAATTTAAAATCTGCATTTTTGAACTTTATGTATTATTTTAGAATATTCAAATAAATTTTATTGAAACGTGCCATTTTTTGAAAGTACAATGAAAATCTAAGAAATTGCAGACTTGATTAGAGATGTCCTAATATATATTTCTTAACTATACAAATAATTTAGGTGTTAAATGCAAAACTGATTTATTTCAACAACTTGACAAATATGTATCGAGATCCTTTCTTGAGAAACTTTATGTCGCTGCTTTGATATATATTAAGAAGATAAAATATTTTTATTGTTATCACTTTACGAAACTAAAACTGAATTTAAGGTAAATTATTTATTATTCAAAATCTTTTCTTGAGAAACATTATGTCACCACTTATTGAAACCTGATATATCGCTATCAGTGGGTCTGTTCTGTAATTCTTAACAACAGTTTCGTTATCGTTATATATTCTCGTTGCGCAGCTTCTTTACCATATATATCTGTGTGACACAAATATAACGATAAGTCCCAGTCTAAAATAGGTGTTTTAAGCTCTAAGAAATTGACCAATCACAGTCAATTATTCTCCTCAAATTCAACTGTGATTGAACAATGTCTTATAAGGCTTAGGGCTTAAAACACCTACCGGGACTAACGAAACTGTCGTTAAGAGTTACAGAATAAGTCCACAAGGAAGACAAAACAATTTTATTGTCATAACGAAGTCAAAACCGAAAGTTCCAAGGTAGACTATTTATCCCTCAAGATCTTTTAATTCTTGAGAAGCTTTACGTCACTGCTTTGACATTTCAGGAAGACAAAACTGAATTCAAAGTAAATTGTTTATCCTTTCAGGTCACGATAATGTCGCGACGGAGATTCGAGAAAATGCGTACTGATGTAACTTAGCAAAATAAATCAGTGGCAAAGAATCGTTAAGATATGTATCGAGGAAGAAGGCACACGATAGGCGCAACAACATCGCTGATTTAGCACGATCGTCATCCGCAACACAGCCTCGTCGCCCCCGTCACAAGCGGAGAAGAGGCGTTAAAAAGTGTTATCCGCGTTATGGATGTTGATCGCAAATCGAATGGATATAAAAACATCGCGACGATAGGCTTGCGAATATATAATATAACGTACGCGATCGCGCGCGCGTTATATAAATTCGCTGTTCGCATTCCGACCCCCTTTTCTTCTGCCCCTTCTTTTCAGCGAAATTATATCTGCTAAAATGGCCAGCGTTACGTACGTAACGCAACACATATATTAATTTTGCTGATATTTACAGGGTTGACCCCGGGTGTCGTCGGGGACGTCGAGACTTCTCGACAACGCGAGCGAGTCGGTCCGAGTTGAGAACGTTCGGACGAGCTCGAACACGGTTGAAACTGCTCCGTCGTCAACACGGACGGGCTACCCACCTCGAGACTTTCACTGACGGAACGCGGTATGCGGTATGGCTATGGCCGTACTCGATTCCCACTCACGGTGCTACTACACCTACACTACGGACTACGGAGTCTACAAACACGATCACAATACGATACGCGATAAGATAAATAAACGCGCAACGCAACTCCCCTCGAGCTCCCCGCCCGCGACTTCGATTGCTACTAGAGTCCCTCTAATGGCTCTAATTGGAGTCTGAGTCTGGTCAACTTGCAAATTCTGCGAGAGAGAGAAGGATATACAATATATATATACATTCACCACTCACCAGGGTTGGGAACGTATATCATACACCCTACGTATCATACATGGGTATTTTACATATGATACCAAGTATGACACATACTTTGGTTTCATATATATATGTATATATATATATATATATATATATATATATATATGTGTGTGTATGTACATTATACATATGTATGTACATACATACATATGAAACGTAAGTACGTATCATACGTTACGTTACATAACTATTAATATTTAAAACATTTTAACTATTATTGTAGATAAAAACTTTTCTTTCTATAATTAATTATATAAAAGTATTATATAAATTATTTAAAGTTTATTTTAAAAGATGACAGTATATAATTATATTAAAAATCGATTAGAAAATTACGGCATGATCAGATTTTAGCCCATACATATGCTTTAAAAACAAATATATTAAATCGACGCGATAAAAGCAAAAATATATTACAACGAATATGACTGAAATTACTGTACTGAAACTGAACGCATATACTGGCATACTGCACTTACTTATATTCTCACTTGCATTTTTACTTTTTTGTTTTTTATTTACAGACTGCATATTTTATATAAACCTAATAACTATAAATAACAAATCTAAACTGCAGGCTTTAGGTCTTTTTTTAAATTTTCTATCAAAAAGATGTATCTAACCTCAACTTGTGACTGTCGAAACATTTACGATGTACGTACGTATAAATATCCATGGATGTAAATCTCGTCTCAAAACTTTAGATTTTTTTATTAATGATGCGTGGCGCAGTACACATTTAGTAGGAACATTGAACACGAACGGATATTAATTATTTTCTGGTTTATTTTGTAAACTGTAAAGGACAGTAAATTTATACAGGATGTGTGAACTATGCGATGCTGCTGGCATTGGATGCGATCCTTGGCCACAAATCTGCACACTCCTTCGCGACAGGTCCCGTAATAGCCGATCCTTTCATCTCTCCCTTGTTGTTGACGATTACACCGGCATTGTCCTCGAAGTATATGAATGTCCCGTCCTTCCTGCGGAATGGTTTCCGTTGCCGTATCACCACAGCAGGCATCACTGTAACAATACACGCGCGTTTATCTAAAATCCTTGGAAGGCAATGGCTGTGTTCACCAAACAAAGCAACCGCTCAGTGATTTTTTTTTAAATACAATTGCTTTATACACTGAGATTAAGGGTGAAAACCAATATTAAAGAATCACTAAGCACTTATTAAGTTATTTCTTCTTAGATGCAAGCAATGTCTCAGGGAACAAAAAAGAGAAAGAAAGAGCACAAGAGTAATTAATTTACCCTTTTTCCTTAGTTCAGGTTTTCCCTTCTTCACGGTGGCAACGATCATATCGCCGGATCCTGCTGCTGGCAGACGGTTCAACCGGCCCTTGATTCCTTGCACTGCGATGACATACAGATTCTTGGCACCTGAAAGACCATTTGCTGTTACACAGAGATCTATCCTCAATAGGATGAAAGGAAAGGCCAGGATACATATGCTTGAGTTGAAAATTATATCAGATCCTTAGATTTATGGTTACATATAAATCAGTCTTGTAACAGGCGTTACAAATAATCTCGACAGTTTAATTATACAGCTTATACTACGTTTACGCGAGCGTTAAGCCCCTTGCACAATGCTAGGCAATAGGCAATAAGAACAGGGAATAGAAATCAGAAATCATGTATAAATGCAGAATAAACAGTGACACAGGCAATATAGACACAGAGTTAAGCAGGGAGCACACACTTCTGCACAACACATAATGCGTAAGCATAAGAAAATTGATTGGTCCATATACATGTGCATAAGAAAATAGACCAATCAATTTTCTTATGCTTACGCATTATGCGTTATGCAGAAGTGTGTGCTCCCCTCTTTACCGTCACGTTGGAAATTCTGTGCCTATTGCCTGTTGCTAACCAATCATAGCATTCGAATTTTTTAGGTTGTAATTAACGATTTTTTTGTTATTTCCTGTTCCTGTTGTCTATTGCTCGGCATTGTGCAAGGGGCTTTACTTCTGTAGTAACTTACGATAATTCCTTCGCGTAAACGGGATTTTGTAGTAACTTACGATAATTTATTCCGCGTAAACGAGTGAATTATCGTAAGTTACTACAGAAGTAACACTCGTGTAAACGTTGTATTAGTATCTATGCAATTGACATGTAACTTTATTAAACATTTTGGTACTATTACAAAGTACAAAAAAATATTTGAGTAAAACTAAAAATAACATATAATAATATATACGAGATACAGTTTATCAATTACTGTACGTTTCACTGATATCTATGAAATGATAGTATTAACTATAAGTATCATCATTTTTTGCTTATTAGGATTCTTGTTCCTTTAAGGCTGGAACTAGAATCATTTGACGTGCGCAAACAGAAAACAAGACTGCGGTTTTTATTAAATTAATCAACAAACCGGGAAACGTAAGTATAAAAATTACTTGACAAATTACAAACGACCATGTGGTCTTCTTGTTTGCGAGTTACACGGTTGCCTTTTGAGGTTAAGAATCGTCCAAAAGATGCTTTTTTTTCCGCAAACTCACCAGTATTATCAGCGCAATTGATGACCGCGCCGACCGGTAGACCCAGGGATATCCTGAACTTGGCTCCAGCCGAACCACCACGTCCTTGGGAAACAAGTAATGTATTGAGACAGCGGTATTGAAAGAATCGTTCTATTTTCTCGCGTGTAATAAAAGTAACGTTTCGTTTCGTTTTATCGTGCGTACGAAACGTGCCTCCGTCCCTCTATCTTTTCGCCCGAGACCGATGCGTCGTCTCAGCACCGATTTTCTCGGATTTCATACGCGACAACGAACTTACCTCTCTTCGACATCTTGGTTTGTTTGAAAGGAGAACTCTAGCCGCTAGCCGCTCGAGTCGAGCGTATCGCGTATCCGCACTCCGCACTCCGCACTACTCCGCAGTACACGAGGCACACACGCACACACGCGGCGAGCGGCGAAATGTGAAATATGGATATATCTCTAGTTTCAAGATTGCTTACATTACAACCACAAGTTCCCTAAAATGCAGGAACTAGGGGCCGGTATTCATAGGGTGCGTTCCACTTATCGCTCGCGACGCTCGCCCGGAGCATGCGCATATGGCCACGGGGCATGTTCATGTTTCATTTCATGTAGTCGCGTAGTCGCAATTTGCAATTTCGTTCGTGTGACAGGTTTCATAACCTGAATAGTCGTCAAATTTAACGATTTAATATTTCTTTTCGCGGGGCAGAGCGACGCTTTTTTTCTGCTAGATTCTTTCCTTTCGTGTAAAAACGTGTAGATTGAGCATAATTTCATCAGTATTGGAGGTGGGGTCCCTAAACTGTATAATTACAAAAAATTGTTTGCAAGATGCTAACGAGTTATTAGAAATAATCATTTAATATTTGTGTTCATATATTTAATTAAACTTTTTCTTTACTTACAGCTGATGTTATTAATCCCATTTTGACAGGATGTTCTGTCTCCTGCAAACTGATAAACATCTCTGCAATGTGGCAGAAATTGTATAGTGTTCTAACGTTACCAATGGAGACCAAAGTGACCAGTAAAACCAGCAGCTTGAAAGCTCTCTTGCTACGAGCTTGGCGAGAACGCTGGACTGATTTGCAATGGGGTATTAATATCAAAACGGTAAGCGTCTGTATTTCCTTGATGTGCTTTCTATTTGCTTCCCAAGGTTCTACATGTTTTCTAAAATCAAGATTAATTCTTAGATTTTGCCAAGAGGAGTGAGTGGTGATGTATATAACTTAGCAGATTGTATATTACAACAAGCGTTAGTGGGACCAGGCCCTAATCAGTTAGTACTGTCTTATCTGAAGCACTCGTTAAGTTCTCAGGTTTGTTTATTAATTATATATATATATATAATATATTTCAGGGGTTACTTTAATTTTTTTGTACACAATATACATATACTGTGACTTGTCAGTGATTTATATTTCAAATTGTCTTGCAGCTAGTGTCATATGCTGCAGTGTTGCAGCGAATAAGTAAATATGATGCTTTTCACAAGCCCCATTGCATCGTGAGCTTGCTGGAGTTCTTGGAGTCTATACAAGTTGGTATCACGTGCCGCGGTAAACCAGAGGAAGATCTCTTGGCAGCGGCAGTCCTGTCTATTGTACATTGGCTTCTACAATGTTACCTGCACACCTTGACAAAGGCGCCCCAGAGTAATCCTCTCACTCCGCATCCGAGCGAGCTCGTAGACAAACCTGCTAGTATTTTGCAACAGATGCTGAATTCGGACTTTTTGTGCGCGATGATGTATCTGGCTAAATACGATGACAAAGGTGTGCTGTGACCAATGGAAAATTATTCAACGTTTTGCAATTGCTTATGCATTTGCACTTTTTTTTTTAGATCTATACATAGAAGTTGTGAAGAAATGCCAGGAGATCGAGACATTATTGAAGACGAGCACTCAAAAGTCCGTGGTACCGATAGAGGATTCACTGAAAAAGTTATGCAATCTGGAGATCGAAAGTCTCTGCCCTGAAAAAATGAAAATGGAGTCTATTACACATTGTCTGCAGCCACTCTTAGCCGTTCAAGTGTTACTGAATCCTAGTACCGAGACAACCGTGTTCGTCAACCAGCTGCTGATGGTGCAGAGATTAAAGTGCTATACAAATGCACGGCTTTACTGCGAGATTATCCGCGCCTGTCTGATGTGCCTGCACAACGTACAGCAAACGGTCCAAGAGTCACAGTGGGGAGCCTTCACATTTTTAAAGATGCCTCAGATATTGAAGGAATTGCATGTGACTAATCTGAATGGTTGGTAAAACCGTTTGAAGTGCTCTGAATTCTGGGAGAGGAGGGGGGGAATTTGATTTCACATCTTTGCATCTTTGCAGGTGATGAAAAGTTTGAATACTCGCAAGATATTCTGGATGCATTCGAGTTGCTCTATCAGTTCATGCCTCTGCTCGACAAAATGGATACCTCATTCAACTCATGCAATTACATAGATTGCTTGCTGAGTGAATTGCAGAAGGTAAACCTTGTGACAGAAAAGCAAGCGAAGCAAATAGGCGCTAGGAGGTATATACATGAGAATCGAACCATTATCATACTATGAAAATAAACTTGACAAATAGTCGAACTTTTTTTTGTGATTATCACGCGATTGTTGCAGGGAGGGGACAACTTCGTCGTCATCAATTCCGAAGGTAATTGTACAAGCAGGGCAGACACTTAACGGGATCTTGAGGACACTGAACGCCGAATCTTACGTAAAAATACAGGAGGGTTTATTGAGCGTGCTGTATCAAGTCGTAACAGGGAAGAGCTTCGAATTGATGCTAGCCGTGGCAACCGTGGAGGGAGAACTGAAGACTTTCGTCACGAAACTCATCAAGTTTAACGAATATAGTAAACAGATCAACGAGCCTGTACCTGATAAGGCAGCAGCGACGAAAGCAATGTTGTTCGATGTATCGTTTCTTATGTTGTGTTATATAGTGCAAACGTATGGCTCTGAGGTGAGTTTGGTGTTGATACGTGTCTCGAATTTTATGCGCAAAGAGACCTTATAATTTCGTGTGTCGATTACGTTTCATTATGGTTCAATATTAACAAAAATTGATTTTCAGGTTGTCCTGGAGGAAGGTGGAGATTCATTCTTTGAGCAATGGGCACGCGAATGCATGCCAGAACGGAACAAACTAAAATCGCCACAGAGGATGCTACAGAGTGTCGACCCGGCGAGAGTGGACGCTCTGCTGGTGCAGATTAACTCGCCAGATCCCGATTTCAAATCGAACAACTTAAAATGGCACGTTGCATGCCAGTCGGCGATGGGCGCGGTGAAGGAATTGCTCTGCGCGTGGGAAAGTGGGGTGCTGGGTGCCGGCGACGTCAAGAGAGCCCTGGATGGTTTGCGAGCGACGGCTTGCTGCTTGCCGGTCTGTGCTGCCGCTTGGATATGCGCATACATGAGCATCACACATCAGGACGCTTTGCTGAAACCCATGAACATGGTTCAGCACTTCTTGACGCCATTGCCGGGTGACGAAATGCAGGAAAATCTGAAAGACAGGTAAACAGATAGAATAGTCACGTGAGTGTATGATGCAATTATTAGAACATTGTTAAATAATTACATTTTTTCTTAGATAAAAATATAATCTTATTCATTCTTATTATAATATACATTTGGATGTTATATAAGACTTTAGTTTATCTATTTTTTTTCCAGATCCAGTTTAATGGTCCATATTATTCGGAAAATGCAATACGACGTGCACCCGCCCACACAGTCGAAAACAAAAGTGTTTTCGGTATCCCACAGGTATTATGGTATTTTTGTAAAACGAATTATCGTATTTTTTCGGGATTGTTATTTTCACGGCGTTTTTGCTTGTAGTATTATATCGCGGCAACCGATACTGGAACAGTTGGAATCCGTTTGGCAGACCATAAATCAATGTGGGTGGATAAACATACAAGCCATGCAATCGTTGGAGTCTCTGCTAAACACCGGCGGTTCTTTATGGTTCGTCACGAATATAGTCAAAGAAGTGCTCAAATATCGCTATCAAGAAGAACTGGATCAAGCTGTGGATCTAGCTTTTGCAATCTTCCATCTCGACATAGAGAACTGCACTCTGGACCTTATACATTACATAATACCGCAGTACCTGCACAACTCGTTGCAGTAAGTCCATCATATCGTCTTCGCATCTCGATCGAATTTTTAAATTTGTACGCAGGACGTTTGTTTCACATAAATTCTCTCTTGTATAGGAGTGATGAGCTTGTGGAACCGCAGTCGTCCATCCTGGCAAAATTGTGCGTGTATTGTATATTCTCCACTTTGGAGTACAATAACTCGAATCCATATCAGAGGAACAGCCGTAAACGCGTGCGACGCGACCTGGACGCGGAAGACCTGGACGCGCTTGGCGTATCCAATAAGCTTCTGCGACTGAACGAAACAGGCGAGAGCGTTCCTATGTTCAACTCGCAAAGTCCGCAGGCGCAGGGTTCGAATAACGGGCAAAAGTCGGTTGTCGTTCTCAGGGATCCGCTTATGACGGCGTTGAACAATCTGTTCACCATATTCGCCTTTCTAGCCGGTAGAGACGGCGAGGTGTCCCAACAGACTCATTTCATACTCCAGTTCCTGCGGCTTATGGTGGAGTGCGGGAAAGACAGAACTCGCATCGTGCTACAGGGAATGCCGCAAACACTGGTACATTCTGATATTTTTATAGAACAACTGTGGATAAACAAATTGTGGATAGAATAACTGTGGGATAAACTGTTGGTAATAACATTTGTATATCTGTTTTCAGGTACCTTGCCTTCTCAAAGCATTGCCCGAGTTATTCACGACTGATATTCTGCTGAGATTGTACGACATACAAACCATGATCGGGCGCAAGGCCACCGCGCGAGATCTATGCATGTTGCGGAATATTAATCTGAAGCCTACAAAATAAAGTCACAATTATCGTAAAATAGAGAATGCATCTTTTCACATGGATAATATTGACGAACAAATACATCAGTTTTATATATATAAATATCTATATAATGTACACAAATATTATCCTCTAAATTCTTATGGCACTTGTACTGCTATATTAGCAGGATAACTGACAATGGCAATGTAATTGTACATTAAGCGTCTAAATGCCTTTAACAGCTTATACAGAAATATTACTGTATGGGGCAATCTTTTGCGCCATGGTTTACATGTTTGTATGTAATAGCATAAATAAATAATTATGTTCAATAATTATTAAGCTAATCATACTTGATAAGTATTGATTTTATAAAAACACAGAAGAAGAATATTATATTTGACGCATGGCATTTGTTAAAAATTATCTTCTCGATCTAAAAATTATCTATTTCTTTACTACAAATAAAAATAGAACAAATATTTGAACGTAGTCACATTGAAAGTATTCTTAGAAAATGCACCTGATATATCTACATTTCAAAGCATTTGAAGAAATATAAGTTTTAAAGTTCTACTTTAAACATAAAATTCTGTTTAAAATGGATTAATTATGAATTTATCATTTTTTTCCCATGAACTCTTCATTCAAGACGCCTAGTTGTCAAAGTACGTATAAAATAAATGTCAAACTTACCATATGTGCTAAAAAAAATGATAGAATAAAGTAAATCGTAGATACCTAAATGTGATCACTTAAAAACATGATAGTGTTTCGTGATACGCGCATTATGTTTGCGTTTAAAGAACTAAAATTTAAATAAGTTGTATTTTTATAAATAAAGATTATTTATGTGTGATCATTAAGAGTATATGTTATTTTATAAGAATATAAGCTTCAACCTGAATTTATATAAAATTGAAGAGAATTCTCGTATTCATACGTGAATATACGTTTCCTAGTAGAATTCTCTTGAAAAAAAAAAACCTACTTCTCAAATGTATATATGCTCCCGTTTCTCACTTGTGGAAAGTGTTTTACTGTAAAAATTATAGATTTGTTTGAAGTAACAAAACGTCATTTTTTAAAGAACCTTATTATTTCATACAATTTTCATATAGATCCTAATGTCCATGTCTTTTACAATAAATAAGTACTATATGTATCAGGTCTATATTCCACTTCTTAGTAAGCACTATTCTTACAAATTATCTGCACAAGTTTCTTAAAATATAGCTTACTTACAGCTAGGAACTCGAACTGGAGCTTTACGTTACATTGAAGTGCGATGCATTAGTAAATAGTATGTTTATATATAGTGAAAACGAATCTATAAGCAATATAATACATATACAGAATAAGAGTTAAAGAATAGAATTAAATTCGCAGTTTACTAATAGTTTCGATTTACGCTGTACAAATTTAATGTATATAATGCATATAAACTATGTATATTCATATATCTATATATATGTACACGGAGAAAATTTTATGTTAAATTTTACTATGCTGCCGCACCAACTGCGGACCATCAAGACGCCCAAATATCACTAAATGCTATGGACATATCACTAAATGCTATGGACATAGTAATTTTACACAAGACTATAGCATTTAAACTTGGGCGTCTTGATGGTCCGCAGTTGGTGCGGCAGCATAGTAAAATTTAACATAAAATTTTCTCCGTGTATAGATTATAAATAATACTTTTCTAGCGTCTAACTTCTCTTTATCATTTTTCATTTTTCAATAACTTCCTGAAAGCTAGCGTCAGTGTTATAAAATATAAGAACGTATATGGGCAAGAAAATAAAATGAATAATGCGATAATGATTTTAATCCTTTTCTCGTTCGTTATAGCACAAATGTGTTGTTAGGCCAAACGTTCTGTATCTTACAGCCATGGGTGCCACGAGGGATCCATTCTGCAGAGATTGTCATGGCTATTGGCAGCGGCTACTAGTGTGCTGACCTTACTGTCAATGCCGTCGAAATTTGCGAGAGAATTTAGTCTACCGACAATCGCGTTGACCGCATGGTTCACCATCTTTATCAGAAGTTCACCCTTCAGATCGGTCGGCGCTTGTGATGTGCCCTCGGCGTCTTCTTGCCGTTTATGGTCCGCGATCACTTCATCTCGCAAAATTGTGCGAAGTATAGCATGCAGCTGGAACGTGGGCTGAACCAAACAGCGCGCTGTGGCGATCGCGCTAGCGGTCAATGGTCCGCAAACTCCTGCAAAAGAATTAACATCGTGAAACCTGAAAGAACTTGGCAACCGTCTGCACAGTAACAAATATCGGATTTACTACAAGTATTTCTATATAACATTTGAATTTTTCCAAGCACAAGGGATGTCTATATCAAGATATCTTTTTATTTTCACGTCGACAGACGAGAAGATTTTAAGATTGTGTCTGACTGACCTATAGTTGTGAGAAATTCGAAGATATTGGGCGTCAGGCGGAAGGGTACCGGTCTCTTTGCGTCTAACTCTCCGGAGATATCATCGATGTCGAATTTGAAATACGCGATGTTGATTAGACCAGAATCCTGATGCACGTACATCATGTCGGGATTGAGTCGCGTAAGATGAAGTACGTATTCGGCAAAGCATGTCAGCGACAGCTGCAAGGTGAACTAAAAACAGAAAGATGAAGACACGATGAAAATACATATGTTGCATTGTAGTTTTTTACATCAGTAATTAAATTCTTCGATGATTGCAGGTCTCTATCTCTATTTTTCTCGGTCAGCAATTTAGAGATGTTCTTCTTTTTTTGTATCAATTACTATAAAGAAGGATATAATTTTGTGCTTGAACTCAAAAAGCTTTCTTGTAATATAAAATCAATTAAAAATTGTCCAAAAAACCTACAATGTTTATGTTTTAAATCATTAGTATTAAAAAAAGTATTTACCATTTTTCTGAATGTCCAATAATCAGTGGCGCCGGGGAATGTTTTCATTGCCCAATCTTTGAGCATAGTTTTGGAGACCATTGTGGTCTGCACTTCCTTCAGAATATCCCGTAGCACTTGATGGCTGGCTTGCGCGCCTCGTGCTTGTACGGCAGCCAGTTTCTCATAATATCTGGCAATAGGTGCGTCGCGCTCCATCCCCAGCTTGGCACAGGCCTGCTTGTAAATGTCTAAGAGGGAAATTGCTGCCGGGTTGTCCTCCACGAGTCTCATCTGCGGCGAAACCGCGACGAGTCGTGGCACGGTAAAGTGCAGAAAACGTCGTGACGTTTCCTTCTGCTTGGTCAAATAGTGGTTCAACATGCGCAACAGTTGTAACAGGCGCTCTTCACGTCTAGCGTCTCCCAGACCAGCGTCGTTGACTACTAAATAAGGATAGAGGCGACCGTTGTGACCGCGAATGCGTAATCTCCTGGCGGCCGTGTTGTGTCGTTGAACCACCTCAACGCGCGGTACAAATCTCGCTATCTTTACAGAATAATGCGAGTGCTGAAGAATATAAAATTTTAGAAAGGATTAACAAAGCACAGGCCCTTTTCAATTCAATATCAAACAATATATATATAAAGTAGAAAATAAAGGTATATATATAGATATAAAGGTGATATATATAGATGATATATAGAAAAATATCATTACGTGTATGCATAATTATGTCTATGCGTATCCACTGAGAATAGAGAATTTTAATTTAGAAGAGTTTGACTGTCTTACCCTAGGTATCAGAAATTCACCGGGCAGCTCGACTTCTGCAGTTTTCAAACTAAAATTGCTCAAAAAGCGACATTTCTCCTCAATTAAAAAAGATCTGCGAAACAATGCACGAATATGTAGTCCACAAATCATAAAAAAGAGAAGTCATTGTAAAAAAGAGATGTCAACAATTAAAAAATAAAATATTACTTTGGCAGTTGTTTCGTTTTTTCTTCGAGGATCTTTATCCATTTCTTCAACTTGCTGATGAGATTGTGTAGTAATCTAGCTCCAGGTACAGTGAAGTCAAAATCACTCGTAAATTGGCCTTTCATTTTCTGGAAAACAGGATCCTGCACGGTAGCTTGAGCTCTTCGTGCCAAAGATTCCGATGCCGCCGAGCTAAACGAGCTGCTCATGTTTTGGGAGGATGATATGTTCTCTGCAAATCGCAAAGTACATATTAGAGGAAAATCGTCTCCTTTTTGTTTAATTCTCGTTTAATAACCAATACAAAAAGCGAAATTGGATTTACCAATGCCAATACCGAACGTAGAACCAAGTTTTTTCACGAAGTTCAATGTATGAGGAGTTATTGTAGCTTCGCTGACTGCTCCACGATTTTCGAATGCTATCGCATAACATTTTGCGAGGCCTTGTCTCAACTGCCTTAAAACTTCTTCATACCACGTCTCACGGAACCATACCATCTGAAATATAAATTTATAATAATTATAATATCTCTTTTTATACGGGAAATCTTAAAATATTGAATCTTACAATTAGTATAAAGATATCTTAATTATAAACTCAAAATAATTACAGAAATATTTGGGACATACGCACGCACGCACGCACGCACGCACGCACGCACACACACACAATATTTCTAAAGTGCTTCGATAAACTTCGAAAATAATTTCTTGACATTAAAATAAAAAAAAATTCATATACGTACATGTATTTGTATATATCAAGCTAATAAAAAATCTCTATTATTCTATTAGCTATATATTTTTTATTATATATAATTTTTTACTGTATACTTTTTATATAATAACGTACACGTGTATACATATACACCCGTTATATTTCCTGTATTTGTGTATTATGTCTTATTATGCGATATTAAGTGGATAAAAGTAAAAGAATTATTCAAACCAACCTGATCGACTATGCCCTCTAAACTAGATAAGATAGTTGGATGAATGTCTCTTTGCATATGCATGATCTTCGAACACCTCCACATAGGCGCCGTGGCACGTACCGTATGACCGGTTTCCGATATTCCCTGTTGCGGGGGTACATTGCCCGTGGTAGAGCCCCGTTCTTCGACACCATCCTGACTCTTCCCTGCGGTCAATTCACCGCTTTTATATCTCTCCCTCTGCTCTATTTTCAACGTCAAATAAAGAGTACGGATGGAAAAATAAACCGCTTGCGGGAACATCCTTCCAACTTGACTTAACAAGTTTAAGATCACACTTCCTTCATAGCGCACCAGATACATCAGTAACTGCGGTACCCACGGTAACCACTGAATAGCTGGGACACCCACGGCATACTTGTCCAAAGTATCCATGAGCAATGACTTGTCGTCATCATAGGTGAGTAGCCATAAAATTTTTGCAATGTACTTTCTGGATTTTGATTCATTCTGGTGCCTGCAGGCATGTAAGAAGCATACAAGAGCGTTTACGCCAATGTTGATCTGACGAGCATGTCCATCGCGCGTAAAGATACTTTCGAGATAATCGCCCCAAAGAGACCAAGCTTTCACCAGAGTGTCATGCAACTGAGTCGCCGCAGAAAAGCTTTTGTTGGCATCGTCCGAGCGGCCAAGTTGTGACTGAAGCAAACCCTTCAATGCGTAAAATTCAGCGACCATTTCTTTTGTAAAATATGCCATATTGGTTGATTCCAGCACATCTAAACCTTCTTGCAACTCATTTTGCCCTCCCATAGTGGCCATCTGCAAATAGCACTTTACCTGTTGTCTGATTTTCTGGAAGCAGTCGACCATAGGTACGCTCGAGGGATTATAAATCTTGGCCAAAGAATCCAGGCAAACGCCGCACAGATTCTGCTTTCTAGCAATTTTACCAAAGTGAATAATCGCCTGCATAGAGGCATGCACGCCAAGCAATGAGTGATTAACTGTTTGGTCTTGTTGAGAATCATAGTGATTGGAGATAAAGGTATAGTGATGTTGCCGCCAAGTAAAGATATCCGACCAATGACTGAGATCGTCTGCTATTACGGGTAAACGATTTCTCCATGTCTTTACGATGGCCTTCATGTCGTGCAGTGAGTTACTTCTGCCATGTAGCAGTCCCTGATGGATTTGCATTGCTTCCTGAAGCTCCATTATCTGTTGGGCCGCTTGTAGCAGCGGCTGATGGACGTGGCTAACAATGCGCGGCAGTCGACGCCACTCACGCATACACAAACCAGACGCAAGTTCTACATAACGCTCGACGGTGCTCAGATGTTGATCCTCACTACTGCACAAGGTCACAAATCCACGATACAGGTTGATCTACAACAATATAGAAAAAATTACGAGTTTGGCAACATCTCCTTTTAATGTTAAAACATATACGTATGCATGGCAAGATTGCGCTACAAAGTCAACATCTCAGGGAATAGAAAAAAAATTATAAAGCGTTTATCTTTTTCTTAAGGATTATTACGTCATAATACCTTCCAGGCCATTTCCCGTGGACAATTGTGCTCCAACTGTGTGAGAATTTCCTTCATCACTGGCCAATTGGGAATACGCCATGCACTCTCTAGGACGAGGAAGGGATTCTTGTAGTTATTATGGCCGCCGAGTTCCAATAGAATGTCCCACTGATTCTGTTCTTTCACAGTGCGTTCCCAATGTCTTTCCCAGAGAAGCATCTCCTCGTTAAGGTGATAGGGTGCAGGGCCAGACGGATAGTCCTGTCGAAACTTAGCCGTACATACCTCGTACGCACCTTGTGCCTGCTCGAAAAATCCTTGCTGCTCTAGCGCAATCGCGTGCAAGGTCTCCTTGTAATGCGCAGGCCTCTTCTGCCACAGACCCGACCACATGTCTTCTTCACAGAGTAACGAGTACATCTCCGAGAGCATGTGCATCACCTCGTAATAGGGAGTGACGCACTCAACCTGCTCGGCTTCGTCAGGCGAGCGATACAGATCAGTCTCGCCTCGATTCTTTACGTTACCGCCGTTACCGTCCGCCGCCATCTCGGCACCCATCTGCTCTAGACTCAGGGTTATTCGGTGCCAGACATTGTGCGACCTACCCAGGTATTTCATCACGGGTGGCGGGATGGCCACCGGTGGATTACAGTGCGCCAGCGACTCGAGGAAAGTGCCGAGCGCGCTCGGATGGCAATCCTTCTGGATAACGTGTGTCCCGCTGGCGACAAACGGCGCTATTTCTGTCGTTATGGCATTAAGATAAGGTTCCTCCAAGATGGACCATATTCGTGGGAACATGTCCAACCAGACGCGCTCCGCCAGCCCTGTGTCCATGTGGCACAGCTGAGCAGTTGCTAGGAGCAACTGCTCCGTTTTGATCTTCTTCGCATTCTCCATGAAGCGTATCTGTTTGTTGATCATCTGCGTCAAGCTGGGTTTCTCGGTGATCTCATCAGCAGGGGTGGTGGCGCTCGTCGAATCCATCAGATTGGACAACCAAGTGTCCATCTCGAGGAACGTCTCCTTCGAGTCTCCTTCCGCCACCTCGATGTCCAGCGGCTCCTCGTCAGGACGACCGAGACGACAAACAAAGTGCGTTTGAGCCTTGCTCTCCTTTTCCTTGCCTCCTTGCATGATAGACGTAAGGCTGGGTAGCAAGAGATCTTCATTTGTTATTTGTACCAAGGTAGTAGTATTGACGGTGGCCAGCAGCAACTCGATGCACTGCTTGATCCAATAGTGGGATCCTATGTTCTCCCAATTCTGACTGACGACGATGTACAAAATACGATCGGCTAAACGCTTCTTCATCGAATTGTCAAATATCTCGAAAAACTTTGCTCTCACTTGCGGCTGCACGCAACGCAGACCGGCCAGGAAAGCCTGTTCCAGCTTACAAGTTAATTCCGTCAGCTTCAGGCTGTCGTCGCGGTAAACGTAATTCACCAGCTCCAAGAATTGCCTGTTGAGCTCTAGATCGTCGGGAAACCGTTTCTCGACGTACTGCATCATTTTCACCAGCAGGATGGACTTCTCGCGCAAACTGGGCGTCTGATTCATCGCAATGGTGGTCTTGTTTTTCATCCACTCCTCTAATATCTTTGTGATGGCCTTCATCACTTTAACATCTTGCGTCTTCTCGATCAGGCCGACCAAGATCGTGCCTATGAACGACTTGCGCATGTCGACGCCCATTACTGCTACGCGATTCTTCACCAGATCTAGACTGAGAATCAACAATTCGCTCGTGACGGGATTGGCCTCAGTCTGCGTGGAGTGTAAATGTTCTTTGGCCATTTTGTGCAACACCCTCATGAATGGAGTTATCAGCCGATCGATATAACTGGGATTATTCGTACAGGCAGCTTTAAGCATCATAAGTGTGCCAAAAAGCGAGCTCGGCGTAGCCGCGCTAGTCTTTTCATAAGTAGTCAGTCCTTCGGCTATAAATCTGCCTATAGTCGTGTATAATGTGTCCAGTTCCTCATACTTGGGTGCTATGTTTGGAGACGCCTGCTCGGCCGGGAAAATCGTCATCAATCGTGACAACAAGCCATGTACCAGACGTATGATTTTAGTGTTGCTGCTGGTGATACAGGCACCTATTCCGCGTTGCAGTGGCTTAAAGCTGGCGAGTATTTGCTCCCGCTTCATTACGCTCAACAGAAACGTTAGTACTTCCAGTGCTGTGCTAATGTTACCGTAGTTGGGCTGAGCGCTGTCCACACTGGCGAGAACTTTGTCAAGCCAAGCCAGCTTTAAGTCGCACTGTTCGGCGACCCATACGTCGGGTTTCAGCGCCATTTTCAATAAAGCGACGCAACGTCTAGATAATTGCTCACCTGGATTGCCGTGAATAGTAGTCACATCGTTTACTTGACACGCCAGGCGCAGCAAGAAATTCAAAACGGCGTCCGCGTGAGCCTTCTCAATGGGTTTTGCCGATCCCGGCTCTATTCTGGGTAGAATAAGAGGCACGGGGCTGTTACCGGACGGCTGGGAACTCATGCGTTTGCCCGACGGATCCTCGTTAATCGTGCGTTTAATCAAAGTCGACGGTTGCATCGCTTTATTAGATTCTGAGGCTTCGGCTTCTTCCTTAATCCTATACAGCTCCCACTTTACGATGACCTCCGCCAATTCAACAGCTAGTCGCCTATGTTCTATAGTAGCGGTCGGGGTACATCCTATACGTTGAATCGAGTTTACTATATGCTGAACCAGGTGGTGCCTGACTGGATAGTAGACTTTGTAGTGCCTCACAACTAGTTGTAGGATATGAGACAATTGTTGCATAGAGTGACCTTCCTCCACGATAATCTTCTTCGTCCAATGTGTTAACATAGTATTACCATCTTCCATCCGTACAGGCATCGCAGGTGTCAGTATTTCTAACGCTTGTCGTACAACATTACGCGCGTCTACGGCATGCGCTTTCAACAAGCTATGAAACACTTGCAAGACTATGCGTTTGTGGATAGCAAACTTTGCTATTATATGACTGAGTAGAAGATGGCCATGGTATCTAGTGGTCGGATCTACGCAATTCTTGCCGAGTAAGCAAGGCCAGGCAAAGGTCATCAAGCGACGCAGCTTGTTTCCTTGCCTCTTGTTTGTCACGTCGTGAATGTGTTGCGATGCCTGTTCCACTAAAAGACAGGAGAATTGCAGTAAAGAGATGCGGACGCAGTCGGCGGAGCCAAAAGGATTGTCCGGGTCAATTATCTTGCTGATAAATACTGATACAACGTTCTCCGGGTTGTCTTGATAAGGCATCGGCGCCCCCCCGACCAGTTTGGTACCTTCGCCTCGCTCAAAGCTTACTGCGAAACACGGAATTATGATCAGCTGCAGAACGTTGGCCTTCAGTTCCTGCGACATGTTGTTCGTGGGAAAATGTTCGACAAAACGGAAGAAAGCACTTCGCTTCCATTCGACCGTGTATTCCTGCGCCACTGTGTTCTCCAAGAAATCTCTCAAGAATTGAAAGTCTGGCACAAACCGGTCGCACGTGGCCCGAAGCAGTTGGAACAGCAGATCGATATCATTCGGTTGATGGCGGAAATAATGCAGCAAGATCTTGACAATGTGCTTCGGCTCCTTCCAATGGCAGTACTCGACACCCTCGACCTTCTTGTGCAACGCCTGATAGTCATTGTTGTACCAGATCTGCTTCAACGCGCCTACCAACTGGCTCTGGGTGGATAACCATTGTTCGTCGTACTTAATCAGTATACCAATGATCTTGATCGCCCGATACTGTACTTCGCTCTTCTCCGGATGAGTCAAATTAGAATTAGTTTGCGAGTGAGCAAGCAGCATCGTGACAAGCCGGGCTGTGCTGTTGTGTAAAATATCACGGAATGGCTTACCGTCCTTGTGGCTAATAAGATACTCCAGATATCTGCTCCACTGTTGATCCTTGATATTACTGTCATGCAGAAACAAATTGAGCGCATCCGTCGGATAACGTAGGAGACATTTCATCAGAGGTTCTCTGAAAGGGCTGGAGACCTCGACTAGCAAGGATTTTTCCGTTTGCAGGATGAGTCTGCAGAGCGCGTCATTGAACTTGGGTAGGGATGCCGGAATGTTGTGATATATCCCTATAATGATGGTGATCTTTTGCTCGTTCTCACCGGACTTTGATATACCTTTGTGGGATTGAATTAAGTTCTCCAAAAACTTTTTCACATGTTGCAGCATTTGTTCGCAGAGAGTAACGCTGAAGGTGCTCGGGAAAAGTTGCGTTAGATACGACAGCCTTCTGACGCAATCCAGACTCAAGTTTCTGTGATCACCAAGTGTCAACAGCATAGGCCGCATCATTGTGTGAACAGATTCCATATCGAGCTGAAAACCGGCAATAAATGTTTTCATACACTCAAAGGCTGTCTCCTGTAACTCTGCATGGGGTTTTTCCAAAGCTTTATATAAAACTCCAAGTATCTTGTTCCGGCAGTTCTCGATGTAATAGCAAGCTGCGAGCGCCCGTAATGCCGATTTTCTCAGGGGCATTAGATTCGAGATTGATTTGTAGCAAGCCAACTTATTGAGATTGGCCTCGTCCGCTTCGCAGAGACCCAATAACTCTTGGAAAAATACCTTATGCTCCGTGATGTTTAAATCAATGGTGAAGAGACGCGGATTCAAGGTGGTGCAGAATGTGTTACCGTCCATCAAACCGATTTGTGCGTTGGTCGGCTGATGCCTCAAAAGATGCTTCTTGGGCGGTATCATGTCTGCTAAGACTTCCTTATGCGGCTCCATGACCTCCGTCACCGATTTGTTCTGTATTTCGGCGAGCTGACGTAATGAGGCCATGGCCTGTTCCCGCACGATCGTGTGTGGCGACGTCACCTGTTTAACCAGTTCGCGGGTAACCTCATACAGACTCTTGTTTTGCGCTTCTATCAATTCCGTGTTGTCCTCTTGAATCCCAGGATTCACGCAGACTCTTAGCATCTTTTCCAGATTTTCTTTTGCCATGTCAATAGCACCGTTAGACACCTCGTCAGTTAGATCCATCATTACGAATATGAGAGCCTTCAGGAAGACGAACAAGTGATTGAGGACCCATTTAGTAGCCATTCGTTCGAACAGAAACTTTATCGTTATACAACCACCCAGTTTAGCGTACCAGGCGCGTTCGTAGCACAGTGAACACATTCTCTCCGCTAAGTACTCCATGAAGGGCAATTGGCATGCCCGTTCCTTCGAGCCCAGAATATTCGTCGCAGTTTCTAATATTAGCATAAGCGCTAAATATCCCGCTTTATACAGTTCCCTTTCGTCGTGACCCATTATGACAGCGAGAGCATCGATCAGCACAAATGGGTCTTGACCTTGCATATCTTTGCGGTTTTCCCGTTCCGTCCAACTAAACAGACCGGCTTGTTGTGCTATGGCGATCATCGTGTAATGCCTCACGACGGAAACGACAGTGTTGAGCACAGAAGGTCTCAATTCTTTTATCTCTGCGGCGACAAACATGCCGGTCAATGCTGTCTGCTGAACATTTCGCGCCACAGCATCAGGACACCTGTAGTGTGGTCCTTGTTGAGGCAGTATCTCGCCTTCTTTAAAACTCGGATGCGTAAACAAATCGTACCATAGGTGAGCGGCGTCGTCCATTTTTAAGGACGCCGCCAAATAGCAATATATAATCTCCCAACATTGCTTGCGGTAGAACACATCCGTCGTGTTAGATTTCAATGCATTAAACGCAGCCTCGATCACTTTTTCTATTGGAAAATCGATCGACTGGGACAGTCCTTGGAAGTAAACCACTACATTGGGAGAATTGGTCTCACGATCATTGTATTCTAGCTTTTGTGGTTCAATCATCATTCTTCGATTTCCACCGCCAAATTTGCCGAGGACTCGGAAGGCGACGTGAGCTTGATCGGTGGAATTATGCAATGTCCTCCAAAGAGCTTGCATTAATTCGGCACGAATCGGTTGTATATGCTCATATAAAAAATCGGGCTGCAGATTGTCAACGCATAATTCTAGAGTACGAAGACCTTGGCTTACTAGACAGTAACTTCCGTTGAGAGCGGAAACCAAGGGATCCATTAGCATCGGAAGATACGGTAAGAGAGAACTGAGACGCACGGGCACAGTTAAGCATAACTCGACAAAGAGATCTTTCATATGTTGCCTATGTAAACCAGATTGCAGTCTGTTCAGTCCCTCCAACATATTAGGAAGCAGTGGTAAGAATTCTTGATATAATAAATCATGAGAGCCACCCCCTATAGATCGGAACAACGCACGCAGCAGTAGAAAATAGTTGTATGGCTCCTTCGCTGACATAGCTAGCTCCATGGCGCGGTTTACAATTAGATTTAAATGTGGCCGCAGCATGTGTTCGTTTTCGGCAGGAAAGAGCGATACGCTGCCGAAGACAAGTTTGAATAATTTCAGATACAGATTACTGCGTTCCACATTCGATCCCATCTCGCTCATTCGTTCGAGCAGATATTCCACCAGGATGGTTGCGAACGTCGATGAGACTGTATGACTTGACAAGAATGAGCTTCCAATTATTTGCAAAGCGCAGTTTTTGAATATTCTCTCGACCATATAATCTATGGATACAGAGAAGATCTCTTGGAACGTTTGGGGGTTCATTTGCGTGAACACGTTGCCGAAAAGATCTAACACTTCCTTCTCTTCTCGCGTCCGTATAGTTTGAGATTGCACTGGTCTGCCTGGCTGTGTGGGAACGCCAATTGATGGTGGTCCTATTGTGTAAATATCTAGAGCTGGTAAAGCCCATTTAACAAGTTGTATATAAATCAAAGTCTCTTTCGGCTGGAGTTGATTGGACTGCGTTACCTCGCTGGTTCTGCTATTGATGCAGTTAGCTGTTATAGCCTTAGCTCCATGCACTAAGCTTTTCACTAAATTTCTATAATCTGCTACATTGTAACTCATCGCCTGCGAGGTCGGGAAACCAAATTTCGATTTTGGCGGTTCTTTCTCTTCATTCACGTCAATACACGGCTTCGTATCCTCAGTCGTATTGTCCGCTACGGCGGGCCGTAGCTGTTTCGTTTTGTTTCGCAGAATTGGAATATAGATTTTGGCGATAGTTTTAAATTTCAGAACAAAAACCAACAATATACGTATCAACAACTCGCGTCCTTGAGTGCTGTTTTCGGCATCGGATCTTTGCCTAACTGTATCCACCAGGTTCATCAGTAATTTACAAGAAACCATCTGAACGGCTGTGGGTAAAGTTTGATCGAGCAAATTTTTACCATACAAGTGCACCGCTCTGGATACGTCACTAAGCGGCAACTGTAGTCTAACATGATGAACTAAATCGGCGAGTGTTGAGTAAGCTAAAGGTCTTAAGGCCTCATGGGCGGTCCAACCGTGGCCAATAAAGATATCCTCGTTAAAGAAAATCTCCATATGCGGAATAAAATGATTTCGTAGATCTGTAGCGAGTATGTGGCGCGAAGCTATCACGAGTTCTTTGCGTAAGTGAGCCACTTCCATCGGACAGAGAGTAAATAAGCCTAGTATACCTTTGACCAGCATCGCGCTGTTCTGAGATATCAAGTCTTGGTATAATCTTATCACGTACGCAAGGAATGAAAGCGTCTTAACTTGCGCCCCCATGAAGTCAACAAAGACCTCTTTATTAAACCCAGGAGAATTTCGATGCTGCTGACTAGGTTGAAGCGATATGGTCGTTATCACAATTGGAACGAAATCCGATACGTCCTGATGTACGTTCTGTTTATATAATTGATTCAATAAAACCACAATTATCGGTAATTCTTGAAGCACCTTGAGAGATAGCACTGCTTTCGGAATCAAATTGTACTGGAAATAATAAGACATGTCTTAATTAATTTCACATTTCTTTTTCTTTACTTATTTATATTATGTACTTTCAATCATAATCTGTATGCGAATTATACAATAGGGTAAATTTAGTACTAAATAAATAAATTAAAAAACTATAGTTACCGTCACGACAGTACCATCGGCAGCTTTCTTTTCGCTTTGTATTGCTGTAATTGTAAACGTTTCTGTCAATAGGGCTTCTATGTTAATTTCTGATAGCTCTTTTACACGTAAAGGCGGACGTGGTTCAAATATTTTTGGCAAATTTTTTGGTAACTCGCTATATACGTTTTTGACAAATTGAAGGAAAAATTGAATCTGTAAACAGAAAAGAAGAAAATAGTTAAAGCAATATTATAGAAATAAGATAAATGACACGTGAGTCCATGTGAAAACAATTGGTTCATAATTGGGTCTCAGGTTCGAATCTGACTTTCATCCTATGTTTACTTTGGTTCGTAAAAGATTGAGTTCGTAGAGTTTAAAAGTTGCAAGTAAAGAAATATAAAGTAAATTATAACAACAAATTGATATATAGATGTTAGCCCGAAACGCAGGCATTCCTAGGATTGACTAGTCAATCCTGGGGAACGACCAAACGTCTTGGTCAAAGCCCGAAATAAGTTTTGCGTTTCGGCTTTTGACTAGTCAATCCTAGGAATAACTAATACGGCTAGTCAAAGTTAAAAACTAAAGAAAAATCACTTCGGACTTTGACTAGTCAATCCTAGGTGTGGCTTAATTCGGACTGTGTGACTAAAATCAAGATTTTTTTTACTAAATTAAGTTCTTATTGTTAACATAATATAGCTTTTTTCTCCTTAAGTTTAAAAATGTAGCTTTGGTAAAATATTGGTTTAAAGCGCTTTAAACAGTTAAATACTTTTAAATATATATATATATATATATATATATATATATATATATATATGTATATAAGTGTGTGTGTGTGTGTGTGTGTGTGTGTGTGTGTGTGTGTGTGCGTGCGTGCATAAAATTAATTAATTATGAAAGAATTACTCACTTCTGGATTGAATGTTGGTTTATATTGCTTATGAAGGTCGATTATGATGCGTAAACACACTAGCACGTTTTCTTCATTGTCTGTCTCTAGTAGTTTAAATATAAGGGTCAGGATTTGCCTGACATATGGACGCAAGTATTCATTGCTTGGTAATCTATGTATCATTTCCAAAATTAGTTTTCTAACTTGCTGAATGTTATATTCTGATATAAAGTGCGGCTCTCCCTCTTGCAATATCTTCAGAAAGATCTTCATCATATGATCGAGAAATCCCGGATATTGTGATGAGCACATAATAATCTACAATTAATTTTGTACATTATAATTAATGTAAACATAAGTACATATATTAAATACATATATTTTCCTCCGACAGATTAATTAAGAACTATTATGTACTGTATGAATAATATTGATGATATTTGAATACCTCGAAATTTTCTGATAATTCTTGAGCTGCCTTCAGTTTCAGTTCATCTTTTGAAACTGGATCAGCCAGCATGGTCACGTATGAACGATATGTGTTCATTTGTGTTACTGGATCGGGTGCCATTTTGATCGTTATAAGAGATCCTTGGTAAATACTATAAACAGTCCATTAGAAGATCTGAAAATCAAATATTCAATATATGCAGAGATGTGCAAAAAAATTGAATTAAAAAATTAATACATATATAAATTGCTACATAAAGTACTTCTCTTCCATATACTTTATAGTTCGATTTTTGAACATTTGAGCAAAAATTGTTTTATGTTGCTTAATGTAAGGACATACTTTATATCAACAAATTTGTATTAATCAGTTAGATATTAAATATCTAATACAATAAATACTTATTTGATACAAATATTGAGCTAAAGGAATATATACATGTCTTAAAATCAATGGATCTATGTTGTGTAAACAAGCCTTAGCAACCACTTTGCTCAGTATATCAGAAACTTTTTCATTTATGTAATGTATATTTTAAAAAGAAAATATGTTCTGTGTAATTTACGGACTTTTGTAGTAGTATAACATACAATAATATCATGTTAGCTATAGTAGATAATGTAAGAATTCTGTGATATGGAACACTCAAACGAAGATGATGAGCTACAAACTCCACCAGCTCACGAGATACTATAGTTTTATTGTAGATGTATAAGACATTGGAAACGCAGTGCGGATTTTAGTTTGCTAGCATTGCTGCAAGCGATAAGAAGAGATCTCGACTGATTTAAATTTCTAGCTCAGAGATAAAGGTGTATTAAGAGGCAAAACATGGACGAAACAACGATTGATTCAATCTTTTCGGGATCATTGAAATCCTTACCACCTGTCAGTTCAAAAATTGTGCGGATATTCACGAGTTCGACTTTTACTGGTAAGTTGTTAATATATTTATAGTTACAGTAAGAGATAGTAGAATAAAAATAATAAAAGATACAATTTAGTGTTAAAAACTTTGAAAGAAAATGCAAAAGCAGTATAAAGTGACATATTGCAATGTGAAATATAGCAATGTTTATTTGATTATATTTCAGATACGACAATGGAAAGAAATACTTTAATGGCTCAGTGCTATCCCAAACTCAAGGACTATTGCAGAGAAAAACATGGTTTAGAATTTCAGGTAGGACTTTATTTCATAAGAAAGAAAATAATATGGCACATTGAGACAAGCTATTAACTGTATACTGATAAATATACATAGTAAACATGAGTTATACATCTTGGATAGAGAAATTGATTTTCACGGTGCCAGGTACCGGTAATATACATATATAGGATTCAACCTTTTTATGTTAATTTTTGATAGGAATCGAGTAAACTTGATAATTACATTTAGATCACATATACATATACTACAATTAAATTAGACTTGGATAATCGACAAAATTAGTTGTTGCATAAATCGCTATTTTATTTATCTAATTAATAATTTTCTCTGGTTAATAATTATATAAACTAAAATATTTTGTTGTTATTAATAGAAATCAAAATTTGCCTTACGTAATGATGGTTAAATCCTCCTTTGCAGGTGGTTGATATGAGATGGGGTGTACGTGATGAAGCCACCGACGATCATATGACTACAGAGCTGTGTATGAGAGAAATAGAAAATTGTCAGAGACTGTCTATGGGACCCAATTTCGTTGTCAGTAAATTTACTTTTTAATTTAAACAGTTTAATCCTCCATTACTTAAACTTCTTTTTCGAGAGTTTATAACTTCAGAAATATATCTAAATTTCTAATTAAGCAGTAGATTGTGTGATGCTCTTTCAACTTTTTTCCAAGGTTTGAAAAAGCATAACACATTTTAATATTTACAAGAAACAAATATAATATTTTTCTACATAGGTATTCCTTGGACAGAAATATGGATATCGTCCTATACCAACATATGTTCTCAGTTCGGAACTAGAGATGTTAAGAACAGAATTAGAGGGTCAAGGAATGGACGTTAGTCTTTTGGATAAGTGGTACAAGAAGGATAGCAATGCTGTGCCGCCAACAAGTATATTACAACCAATCTCGTCTATCCTCAAAAACTTTAATAATAAAGTAAATCACTTCCGGCTACGTGCAATAATTTTACTTATACAATGCATTGTCTACTACTTAATAATTATACAATTATTTCTTTCCTATAATTATATCTTCTTGTTTGTGTATCTTTAAGAGAATACCTAAGTTGCAACAAGAGGATCAAGCGATTTGGTGGGACACCATGTGCAAAATGCAAAAAATGTTCAGGAAAGGCGCGCAATCCTTATTTAATAACGGGAAGTTTGACAAGGATACAATGCATAATTATTTCATGTCCGGTAAGAAAGATCCAATAGATACGAGTATGAAAACATAGCTCGATTTTACCAATACCGATAAAATATAATAAAAATTTATAAATCTTATGTCTTCTGTTGATAAAGATAATTTTTCATACAATCTTTAAGATATTAAACATTCAAAAAAAAATATAAAATATAAAAACTGTTCTCTGGCCACTAATAAAATTTTCAAGCGTTAGTAATAAAGCCCAAATATTTTTTGGATCATATTTAGGATTGCATTACCTCATATATGTATTTGCATTGTAATAAAATCCTAATAATTACTAATCCTGAAACAGTGACCGAGCGGGAAGTAATTAACGGTGTGCTGAACGTGAAAAATACGAAAAATCATTGCCTGGCGTACGTGCGATACATAAACAACATTAATCTCCAAAATCTAAGAAAGGCCAGTTTATTTTTGGATATAGCCAATAGAAGTTTGGATAACGAAGCCTCGAAATTGTTGGCCGATCTGAGAGACGAGCGACTACCGAATAAAATCGAGAGCACGAATCTGCAGAGGTATCTCCTCCTCCCCCAAAAATTCACGAGAGCAATTTCTGTTGCGATTACTTTAATCGTGCAATGTTTTATGCAGATATACGGTGGAATGGATAGGGAGAGAGGGTCTGGATCCTGAAACTCATGGCGAGTACCTTCAGCACTTCATCACTCACTTTTACAGAAACATAGTGAAGCTCGTAGACCGTGCCATGAGAAAGGAAGATAATTCCGCGCAGGGACAAATAATAACCGAGATTTTGCAACACCTACATGCCTGTAATAATTCCGTAAAGGTAGAGTAAAAGGAAATTTATCAAGATTCTAAATATGGCCGAAATATAATGTGTAAAGTATTAAATTAATTTGAATGGCTTGCTGTTATGAATAAAGTTAAAAGAGGAATTTAAAAAAGAGACTGATAAACTTTTCTCTGTATGAAAAACGGCATTAAAACCGATGATAATTATCTTGAGTGATAGAAGTTATTAATTAAAGGCAAATGTGATAAATCTAACCAATCTAATATTTATATATGTATATTCCTCTCTTGTATGGTATATGTAAACTAGAGACCCTCTAATCAGAGACTGGCCGTAAGGAGGCCACTTTTAATAGGGCCGCCATTTTTCTTCAAAAACAAGAGAAAGAAAGAGAAAGAGATATAATTAACCTTTAGAGGGCGGAAAAACTTTTTTTTTTTACTATTTTTCCCTTATTCAACACACCAAATTTTGCCTGAAAACATCAAATAGCTTGTGTTTTTTGGGTGGTCGATATTTCGACCACCCCCGCCCTCTAAAGGTTAAGAGAGAAAGAGAAAACAATATGAATGTATATCGCTTTCTCTTTCTCTCTTATATCCTTCTCTCTCGCAGGATTTTGAAGAAATCGCCTGATGGCCAGTCTCTGATTATAGGGCTTCTAATCTAAACCATATGCATATATACAGGGTGTATTAGAGCGCCCATATCAGGCATTTTTTTAGAAAAACGCATTTTCAAGAAAAATGTTTCATATAAAAGTTGTAGGGTTTAAAAAGATCTATTTATTGATCTTTTCAGTGTGACCTTGAGTGGCGTCGCCAAGGTCAGAACAAGGTCACCTCAAATTTTTTAAATAGAACCTCTTATATTGTAGTAT